TACGAGAAATAAAAAATTTTCCTGAGTACCTTTTTTATTTACCGTAAGAGTTGGCGTAAGCGCATTTTCGTTTATATTATAGTTGCAAATTACTGGCATGAGTGAGCCACAAAAAGTTGTAGAAGATGGCGATACCTTCGAAGTGAAATCTGACATGACCAATTACAATGACTTCACTCTGTGACTCTGAATTAAATGTCAAATCATGGCAAGGCATTCTATTCTCAGGCATGCTACACTTTAAAGACTATAGTTTTAATGTCGCATGCCTTTTTTTGTGGAGGAATATTCTTAATACCTTTGATCTGGTTGTTTCATGATGAGTATAGGCATGACTGAAAAACAATGTTATCTGTGTCTCTTTTGTCAACAATGTATTTTTTATGCATTTTTTCTTCATTTGTATCTTGTTAACAGATGAGTACAGCTCTGAAGTTGTTTTTGATTATTTCACTCTTATCTAACGAAGGAGTAGTAGTAGACATTTATCTACTCCATTATATAAGAACAATAAGAACATAGAATGGATAAATAAATGTTGCAATCCACAGAAGGAAAATGCTGTACATGGATCAGTCGTATGTTGGAATGTGTTCCAAAATCAAAACAAAAAAGTTAAAAGAAACTTAAAGAAAAACTTATATCTAAGAGTTGTATATGTAGAGGATCATAATTTTTAAGGAATATTTGACAGGAACTCATGCTGTATTTCTATTGCGTGTATCAATTCTGAAAATTTCTTCCTAAAATTATGTGTATTTCGAAAATGTTTTGAGTCTTTGGGTATGTGTTCATGTAATTTTGGGGAAAAATAGAGAAGAGATCACTTCATTATCGTTTTATGAGGCTTAGGGACAGTTTTTTCTCGTGACAATGGCTGATAGTATGTAAAAAATAAAGTTGCTTGATATCAAATAATTTTGCTTCGTTATATAAATCATTTGTTGAATATAATTTTGGTTTTGCGGACATAATTTTTAAAATAGTTCTCTATAAAACTTCTGTGTTGTTTAAGTACACTGGACATGCTGTACCCCATGCTAATATACCATACCTTAGGTGCGGCTCAATTAAGGCATGAGATGTGTATAGGACGCATATAATTTTCTGTCAACATGCCTGTAAGAAATCTAATTTTGTATGTAACATATCGTATGTCAATTTTTAAATTTGTCTTGTTTATTTTTAAGGAAATATGTGAATAATCGTGTAGATGTTTTGCGTATGATGTGAAGGGTGGAAAATGAGTTTTTTCAAAGTTCAATGCTAATGTTCTAGAGTTGAAAAAATGAATGGTTTTATAAAAGTCGTTCTCAATTATTCTCTTTACATCATACCAGTCTTGCACTTTATATAGTATTGCCATATCATCAGAAAAACTAATTATTTTACCTACACCATTAATATTGAATATATCAGTCAAACAGATATTAAATAAAATAGGGCCTAACACTATACCCTGAGGTACACCACATTTGACAAACATTTCCTTACTGTTTGATTTTGATAGTTTCACTACTTCGGGCCTTTTTGATAAATAACTTTGCATCAAAGAATTTATTTTCCCACAAAAACCTAATTTGTCTAACATTTTTAACAGTAAACTGTGATTAACTGTATCGAATGCCTTTTTCGGATTGACAAATATACAAATAGATGGAATCATCGTGGTTTTGGGTGATTTGATTCACTAGACATAGTATAACCATCTGTGGTAGATTTTCCTGTTACAAAACTATGGATTTGGACTTTAATTTATCAGTGGATGATTACTTGTTTTCTTCAAAAAATCATTTCTTTTCTTGAAAACTCAATTTGCTGCAACCTGAGGTTTCAAGAAAATCAAATATTTTCCGAAGAGAAAAAGTGATAAAAATAAAACTAATCACCGTTTGATTCTTCCATAAGAGTGGAATATTAATTTCAGAGCTGTTTTAATATTTGTTAACAAGTTACGATTGAAGAAATCATACAATGTATCAAAAATGCTTTTATCGCCAAAAATGTTGATAGCATTGTTTTTTAATCATCTGTATACATACCACGAAATAATCAAATAAAAAGGAGTTAGAATACCGTGGCATACAGGTAGTTGCTGAAAAAGGTCTTGCGACCTTAAAGGTTTAATACTTCATACCTATGACCTTAATTAGAGTTTTTAATGTTCCCTTATCAAGGTCCCTTATAAACAGACTTTTCTTATGGAAGGTAGATCCCAAGAATCTGGCCAACTCAAAATACAACGACTCACCTACTGGAAAAAGACGCCCTCCTTGGACTAGACCCAGATCGGTTGTTTAAGATGAAACTCACTGGCGACACTGAACTCTTAGGTTCAATAGTAATAAAGGACTCAATCGCGGATTAATAGTTGAATATAAAAAAATATATACAAGCTTGCCTCTAGGATCAAATCTGAACAAGTGGACTTCGATTCATAATATCCATCAACCACAGTGTGTTTACAAAATTCTAGATTCAAGAGCGCTATAGAACATAATCATTTCTCTAGATGAATTAATAAGACTCCAGTCACGCAAAAACAACAATGATCTCAAAACATCTCAAAGGCTTCAATTATATTAATAAAATGAAGAAAGTCTGAATTAATAATTTATGAATGAATAAATGAATGAAAAATATATCACTAGCAGTACCAAACCTCGATAAAGAAGCTGAACGAAAGTTTTATTATCCTATTTATTATCCTTAACGACTTCCCGATTGTATCACTGACATTACTTGAGAATTAATTAACTAAGAACCTCCGAGGAATTGCAACTCAGCCCGGTTGGAAGTTACGTGTTCGAATTTTGATGTGAGAGACCAGAATACAGGATGAGTCTTCATTCCTGGTTTATTACCATACCTACCTGTTTTACAACCCCTTCTCAGAATCGTACCTATAACCAGTGGCGCGTAGTCATAGCTTAGAGGATTTTGTTTAAGATGATTCTCCCCAAGTCGGAGTACTGTTGACGACTCGTTATTATAATTTACATTAAATTTAAATCACTGATGGCGACTTCGAATTCTAACTCAGTGATCGTGCAATCTTACAGCGATTGTTGATACTAAGCCTAGTCTAATAGGTAGAATCTTGTCTCTTTTTATAATATTCAAATTCGATCGTCCATTGAGGCACAGAGAAAGAAAACCTACAAAAATCCTTCAACTGTCGACATTGGGTAGCCTTCTCTCTGATTTCAAGAATCAAGACCCAGTGTTCCGACATTGGCATCGAACCTTATGAGGTTTTCACTTGTCAATAAATATGCAGCGTGCCTGGTTCCACAGCAAAAATATACACCTCTATTCTTTGTATTTCTCAGCCTATACTGCCCAAATTGCACAGGTGTTCAACACTGGTATTGGCTATTCGCTACAATCTTCCTTGCGATTTAATTCTCTAAATAGTTTACGCAAAGACTGCTCTAGATCATCAGCACTGCTACACATTGTTTATAGGCAAAATTAGACGTAGTGTTGGCGAAACTTCTTTACATTGTTAGCATAAAATATCTGGTATCTCTTTTAATATTATGTCAAACTAAGTATTTCGTACGAGAATGAGCACAGTATGAGACCACTTGATTATTGCAAAGTCCGTAGACAAGTCGCCAAAAAAGGTCATTTTTCTCAAAAGAGAAATTAGAAACCTTCAGCAACTGTTGAGCATTGTTGTTAAGTATCACAAACGCTTTTGTCTGTCATTACAGACTTACCGCAATGCACTTTCCTGTTAAAAAATAAATAAAGAAATCATTTTTTGACGTTCTTTTTGTAATGACAAATTGATCGTTATTGAGAATTTACCGCGAAAGGTCATTTACACCAATAGTTCGCAACTATTTGAATACACGCAAAAACTAATTTTTCCAGCTCCGACACCAAATAAAAACGTTACTTACCCTCGAGAATAGAACAAGTTATACAGAAGCTCATTATAATCCTTTCCTCTCAAATTCTATATGTTTTGTGTAAACGCAAAACTTATTCATACATTCTAACGTCCCGCTGTAAATAAATGTGAACTTTATCGTTTATAGTTAGGTACTCAAAGTGCCATTTGTCGAGGACCAATCACGGTCTTCCGCTCTAGAGAGACAAGATGGCATAAGAAAAACGTTCTCCGTGGAAGTGAGGTTATGTTATAGCATGTGGCTTAAACGTATTGTAGGGATTGTGATTCCTTTGTAAATTATCAAGCAGTCTCAAGCGCTCTCGAATGGACTCCAAGTACAGAAAGGAATTTACTTACGCAGCATTAAAAGGAAGTCAAATCACCCTTACCTTAATCACCTCTTCCACGGCTAAAGCTCTAATAGGTCACGAAGCCCTTAGCACTGGCCACTCGCTACCTTCCGAAACATTAACAAATATGACACTAACAAGCTACCCTTTTCTCATATCCAAATCAATAAGCATAATAACTATGCAGGGCGGATACTAATAAACTAAGTGGTATGAGTCTATTTTCGAAATTATGCACGGAACGTTTGCGTAGATCGGCTTATAATGGACTGTCCAATCCATGCACGAAATTGGCATCCTTTCAGTTTTATAGCTTCCAATAACAGCTAATAGATCCTTCGTGTATACAAATATATATTTTTATCACAAGTAATTGATTTCCACATCCAGTCTAACAAATATAACAACTTAGTGGTCTAAGCCTCTCAATAACATGCCCGCTCTCATCTGTTGTCTTGCTTAGATGGACTAATGAGCCTAAACAATAGACACAAAATTCATGTATAAACCAACGCCACATGTACAGTGAAAAGCTTGCACTTACAGAAAAAAGTATGAATTTTTCGTTATTTGGCAAAGGATTTTCAACATTAGTTAAAGTTTGTTGACCAAGACTGGCACTGAGCAATACTAATAAAATACAATAACCATCATAATACTATTTGATACTTTTATACCTTTTCATCACTTAGCAGTTACATGAACACAACAATACGTGTGAAATTACATACGCTGTCTGGTTTCAGCTTTTTGAAACTGGTACACATCTTCAGCGTAAATCCTCATTTGGGCCCATTGCAAATATCTCTAGGACGAATGATCATCGATATAGTAAAATTCTTCTTCATATACACGTTAGTTCTGTTTGCTTTCGGCTGCGGTAAGTAGCATGTTTACACAGAAAGCTTCGTTTGATACTTCTTTTGCAGGTCTGAATCAGTTGCTTTGGTATTATGCCGAATTAGAGAAAAACAAGTGTTACCATCTACCTAGTGGATTACCTGATTTTGATAATAATGATAAAGCTTGTGGTATATGGAGAAGATATGCAAAGTAAGTACGCGTGGACACTTTGAAGATTATTAGATTTCCGGCCTCTTTGATCAACCGTTCAATCTTACCTTTCATTCCTGGTAATCCTTCATAAAGTGATCTGCTAGATAAAAGGGATGAAAGTCAGCGTGATTAAATCTAAGCTTATGAAATAAGTTCATTAGTGCAACTGTCAGTATCACAGTTTAAGAGAAGTTGATGGAGCGGGTACATCATCAAATGTGAAAATTTACTGTACTCTGTTCTACCAAAACACACTTTATCAGTAGAAACGCAGCACGAGGTGGGATTGTATAAATAACGATTTTTACATTGTTGCTCGATGTCTGTAGGGGACACATTTTAATTTGTCCAACCGCTGCTTTGATCAAACGCTGGGCACGAGTTTGGAGAGAGAAACAAAATTATAGGTACATGAGAATAGCGGAAATGAGTATCTGTAACTAGTGACCAGTAACAATTTGGACAAATGTTCATCCTTCTCTTACTAAATTTTGTCTAAGCTACGTAGCATATGTATACAGGGTGTTTCACAATTTATCCGACAAATTTTAACCACATATTCTCTGTTACGAAAGAAGTTGATTTCTCAAAAAAAATGTAATAAAAGCCCTACACAAATTGAGTTATAAACCTGAGTTTCAATAATAAATTGAAAAATAAGTATCTGTATTTTGCGTTCATTGTCGTGATATTAGAACACGCTTTAACAATTTATTGTAACAAATGTTGTACCAAACAAATGACGAAAGCAAAATACCAGGAATTGTTTGTTTTTTCATACTGATAAAAACGTGTAAATTAAGAACGGTCGATTTTTATGAAGTTAAATAGGAAAATATTTTGCGAGTTTATGTTTCAACTTATTTATTAATAAAAATGGCACATGTGTACACTAATGAGAAGTTAGTGGACATTGTTTAAGCGTACGGAGAAGCAGGGCAAAATTCGCGAGCGGCTTCTCGTTTGTATGCAAACGGATTTCCGAATAGGCACATACCATATCACGAAACGTTTAGTTCAATTGTTTTACGTGCACGTGCTAGTGGAGATTGGCGCCCCAAGCGTGGAGTGGATGAGGGTCCGGTTCACCCACAACGCCTTTTAAATGCCGAAGACGAAATGTTTCATATTGTGGAAGAAAATCCGGGAATAAACACAAGTCTGTTAGCCCAACAGGTCCTAGAGGTGACACCTGGAACAGCGTGGCGCATATTACATGAGGCCCAACTGTACCCTTATCACGTCCAGAGAGTCCAGGCGTTGCTACCTACAAACTACCCCGTAACAGTAAGATTTTGTGAGTGGTTGTTGTAAGAAAATGCTCGAAATGATCGTTTTGCAGCTGATATTTTTGCCACCGTTGAAGCTATTTTTACTCGTAATAGGATAACCAATCTCCATAATTCACACGGTTGGTACTTTGAGAATCCTTAAGCAGTGGTCCAGACACACTTCCAACATCTTTTTTCTTCAAACGTCTGGGCAGATGTTGTCGATGTACGTCTAATTGGACCGTTCAAATTGCCAGATCGGATGGATGGTCACCAGTATTTTGGAATTTTTTCGGAATCATTTGCCGGTCCTTCTTGAAGATGTGCTGTTGGCGGTCCGAGCACGGATGTGGTTTCTGCCCGATGGGGCACCTCCGCATTTTCGTTTAGAAGTTAGTGATTTTTTGAATCAGCTACACCAGATACGCTGGATCGGAAGGGGTGGACCAATTGCATGGCCTCCACGGTCTCCCGATCTAAATCCTCTGGACTTCTTTTTATGTGAATACTTAAAAAACGAGGTATACCGTACTACAGTTCAGAATATTGAAGAATTGCGTGACCGAATCACAGTGGCTGCCGATAATTTGAATATTCAGGCACAGCAGGAAGGAGGTGCATTTGAATTAGTGCGCCGAAATTGGATTAGACGCGCCCAAGCTTGCATTGCAGTCAATGGAAACAATTTTGAACAGCTTTTATAAGTAAGTGAACAGTTAAACTGTATTATTTTATCATCTGTTAAAATTTGTCGGATAAGTTGTGAATCACCCTGTATAAACTGGCATAGGCACTCATGCAAGTCGTACGTTTTGCTTGTACAATCTTAAATCGTCAAGCAAGTTTCTGTTTTGCGCGTGTATCAGACAGCAAGACATCGGTTACCACAAGCACTACTCTTGCATGGCGACTTAACTTGACAAACAATACGTACGCTTTGCATGAGTGTCTATGTCAGCCTTATCTACTACAGATTTTTACCACTCGTGAAACCGGTTTTTTAAACACCTGATATATACTTTGCTACCTATGTTGGAAAATTAACGGCAAGATTGAAACTGCCCCTCGGAATATGCTAACATAAATAGCGTAACACGGGTCGGGTGTGTGCACAACCCGATTGGCGAGTGGTAAAACTTTGCAGTAGTCATAGTTGCTGCGCCAAAGGATCCAACATGTTATAGTTCCATATGTAGCACATGTTTATGTGTAGGATTCCTAAGATGATACCCAATGACGGCTAGCAATCGTAAAGAGATCTGGTCCCAGTCTCATTTTGTTAGTCATAGCTCATGATAAAAATTACTTGTGATGTAATCCGTCCTTTGCTTACAAAATTGTGTCTAGGTGACCTAACATATGTTTGGGGGTTATCATAACCATGTTGATACTCATGATAGAAACTTCAAAATTAAATTACGGTACAACCGTCTTCCGTACGTGTCTGGCATAGTTGTTTCCACATCAATCTACAAAGCGCACATCAGATATGACAAACCTGTAGAGACTTGCAAAAATTCTCTATCTCTCGTGGGACGTTTTCACGAAGCGTGATACATCCATGCGTGAAATTGCTTCCATTTGGGCGAGGTATTGTCAGCTTGCCTATGACATCATCGTGAGGGAGGCAAATCCACGACCGCTCACGCTCCCTATCGAACACGTTTGCTTTTCAGACGTAGACATGCCAGTCGGAAGAGACGCACATGGTAATCACTAATTGGTGTGGCTGTGATTTCTTTCATTTTTTGAACTCTTCATGTGTCTCTCTGAACCTTTTTGCTAACATAGCACTACAAACTATAAAGCTTTCAACCAGAAGTTCCTCCATGGTCGGCTTTAATAGATGAACTGGGTAGTAACAGTGTGAACAGTCTGTAATCTTCGTTGGTTCAATTTCCACTCCCTACTAGAGTCACGAGTGACGCAGGTAAAATCTAAAGCATGACCCGCTGTCGCCTTCTTGCCCAATAAATTTAGCTTCATCTTCATTGAGATATTTTTATGTTTTTCAGTTTATTCGAAACATCTCAGTCCCTATTTTGGGCTAGCTTTGGATTGGTGGATCTAATGTGTTTTGAACTTACTGGCATAAAAGGTTTTACCAGATTTTGGGCACTGCTAATGTTTGGATCATATTCAGTTATAAACATTATCGTGCTACTCAATATGTTGATCGCCATGATGTCCAACTCGTATCAGATTATTTCTGTAAGTCCTTGTAACTTTGTTTTGCGGTAGCTATGCTTCCGTATTTGCTAGAAGTGTTTAACCTTAAACTATCCAAGGTTAGTGATGTGGGAGATAATGTGGTTCAACAGTATGATAAGTTAACTGACATTTCAATACACTAAGACTATTTTCAGATTAGGCCAGACTGAATTATTGAAAGCAGTTGTAGTTTTGACTAGTGATCATCTACAGAAAATAAAGCTAGAATTTATTTATGTAGGAAGTGTGAATCGACAAAACATCAATATTATTAGGAAGCAGGTCTACTTACGTGACAGGAAGGAGTAATAGGACGAAAGACCTTAGTCTAAACGATTTCAAAGTTCCCTACTAACTTTGAATGGGATTGTATCTAGTTTGTAGTCAATATTTAAGGTTCTTTCAAGTGCCTTTCCTTCACTGCTTCGTACTTAATACTATCTGCTTTCTGGGAAACCAAGCCTGGTAGATGCATCTAATTTATGCCACATTAGACAGTGGCTAACGAGCAAACATTCTTTGGACCACCTAGGCGGCTATATGATGGATAGTAGGTAGTTTTCTAGCCTTAGGCAGAAAGTCTTGATGCATTTCAGCAAGCTGGGTAGCATTACGCTAAAATGGTATTCGTTGCCTTGCTCATTTAGTTTTTGCCCTATATTCGATACTCATGCAAAAAAAATAAAAAATCAGCAACATTACTTAAAGGTCACGAATTCAGCAAAATATTTATCAAGTTATAATTTGGTAAAAGAATGCAACTGTGCTCGGTAAGCAGTTATGAGACCTCAGGTGAGGTTCTTTGTACCTCGAATTTTGGATGCAAATGGTTGTGGTTTGGGCTCCACCTAGTTCCAAGCACTACGAAAAGAAATAGCATGCAACCAATGATGAGTGTCTGACGTTAGAGGTCATACAAACTCACAAGGTACACAAACATTTATTGAACAAAAAACATAAAAAAATTTAAAACACGTCCTGGAGGACAAGCTAAAGAAAACTGTTTTATACTACACCCGCTGATAAATGGTTTACAGCAAAAACTAAAATAAAACAAAACCTTGTTAGGCGCTTGGCCATCACTGGAAGGTAACCCAAGTCCCAGATGTAACTCAATACCAGAAGGTAGAACCCGAAGGTAGACCCTGAAGGTAGACTATGAAGCAAAATAAAAAGTATAAAGTTAATACAGCTTTAAGGTATTTAAGGGCGGAGCATGAGAACCAACACTCTTAGCTGTCACGCTGACGAAAGATAGACGCAGAAAATACCGATTTGGACTGTACAGTGATCTTACTATTGTTAGTCTGTATACCAGTAGGAATCTTCATGCATGCTTGGTGATTACGACCAGCTACGTTGACATAATTGTTGAGACAATCTTGACAAGTCCCGCGTCTGGAAGATGCGGGGATCGTGTGAATAATGATTATGGGGATATAAATTGTTGTCAGACACCTCATCAATGCGGATTCGCTGCTTCCAGGAACGCTCTGATACGGAATGGAAATTTGCGAGGAGTCGCTTGTGGGTGAATTATTTCGATGAAGGAGATACGCTTCCGCCGCCCTTTAACATCGTCCCGACGCCGAAATTCATGTTAAAGCCGTGCAGGAAGAATATCAAGGGGACCAGGAGTTTTAAGGTAAAAACATCTTTTGTATTTATCTGATTTTTCTGATTCAAACGTGTTTGATCAAGTGCAATATGGAGACGAGGATTTATATCGTGTCTCTCCCATTTCCATTTCTGGAATTTTCATGATATCAAGATATTGGTATTGACACGTGCTACTGTGAAGTTTGAGTAGAAAGTTTATCGTATTATTCAATCCTTCCTGATTATCAAATCAATTGAAGTCTTTGTTAAAACGTTACCTAATTTGAACTAGTTTTTTAGATATTTGGTTTTATAGATGCAAAAAGAGCGGTTACAGTCGCGTTGGGGTTTTCTGATATTTCGTAATGAAAAATAATTACAGAGCTGGTTTACAAACTGACCGTATGAACTTGAGCAATGTTAAAACGCTTTTGTAGAACTAGGAAGAAATCTTCCAATCACTCTTTCAAATACCAAGCAGAAAAAGTTGACAAAACTATCGTATTCATCTGCTCGGTATCGTAATGTATCCAGTAATGTTTATCCCTTCCTCAAAAGAGTGTTGAACTGTTTTTTAAATTCGCATGGTCGACAAGGAGTGCCCTAGAATCTTCAAATATGTTATTTTGGGTTTAAGGTGTTCTATGGTTTGCTATGTTTTATTGATAAGAAATGAATAAGGGGAGTTTCCATTATCGATGAAGAAAAACCCTTGAATAGATTGACGCACGCACATACCTTTCTGGTACTACGAGTATATTCGGCCACAAACACTCTCATTCTTCTACATTTTTTTATAATCACACGGTTTTATAATATAGTTCGGTCATACCCGTTCTCTAAAATAGAATTGAAACAAGGTGAGACTTGACACTATTGTAAAAATGTACCTTAGTTGAGCAGATAGGATGTTGAGCAAATCTGTATGTACTACAGACGGTCCTGGAGTTTGCAAGATGAAATAATTCTTCCCCGATCTCGGTAATATTAAATTGGATGATTCTACCAGCATTACTCCCAATAAAGCCAAATTACATCTGGTTCATCATTGCAGAAAAATAATGACTGGGGCAAATTTATTTCCAGTAAACCAGCGGTTCTCAAACTTATTTCATCTACTGCCCACACTAACAGTCAATTATATTATATAATATTGCGTCGTCTCCCAATTTCTTTCAGGCTCTTGACCCCTCCCCGGAGGTCAACAGCTCCCACTAGGGGCGTTATGTAGATTGCTGTCATTAGCAAAGCTGTGGATCGGGTTGATCGTATAGGAAAGGAGGTCGTTGATATGTCAGACGAACAACGTCGGATCAAAGACCGATCGCTGGGCTACAACCGCTGTGACATTATGGGATGAAGAGGCGAATCTGTCAATTACGAGCCATCTGCTAAGATTCTCTGGATGACCATAGGATGGAAGTTTCCTGGGAAAATGCTCCATTCGTAGAATATCTGGAAGAGACGCGAAAGAACTAAAGAATCATTGTCTGGACCAGAAGCATTGTTGATGTCAAGCGTCTTAGGGTATTACGTTTGAAGGTTACTTCCTGCATAGTGTGTCTTTGAATCGACGGCACTCGGGATTTGGGGGGGGACGTCTACGGTGGAGTTGACAGCAAAGAATTTGTAAGCACCTACACCTTAGCCTTTGAGTCGACGGTTACAATTGTTCCATCCTGGCACGTAAGCGGTCGAATGCTTCTCTTTGAGGAGTCCTTTTCCATCGGGTTCGCCAGCCTCCAGAAAGAGCGACAGCCGTTGCGCTGCGACATTACCCTCTGCCTAATTTTTAAATTGCGATGATCTCTGGCATTGCGGACGGCTGTACAATATTATTATTCTGATCAGTGAATGTATTTCGTCAGCGCATATTTATGATATATTCCGTAGGTAAAATCAAGAGAGAAAGCGAGGGAAAGATACGAGCACGTAATGAAATTACTAGTAAGAAGATACGTTACGGCCGAACAAAGGAAGAGGGACGACTTCGGCATAACGGAAGACGACGTTATGGAAATCCGTCAGGATATTTCCAGCCTACGTTTCGAACTCATTGATATTCTGCGGAAAAACGGAATGAAGGCCCCAGAAATTAGCTTCCAGGACGTACAAGGTCTGTTATGTTTCTTAATATGCATCTGCAGAAACAGCTGACCATAAATAAACTGTGGATATCGTAGAATGAAGGCATATCTTTTACTCTTATGCGAAGCTAAGATAAATGGTAATGGAGGATGCAGGCAGAGGCCAGGGGTTGAAAATGAACTTGGAGTCTTTAATTGGCATCCACCAAGGGGGCGTAGCGACCTATCATCAAACTAACGTGGGACTCGGAAGCTATATTTCGTTTAGATTATAAATACGTAAGGGTGTTTCATAAAATTGTATCCGTAAAAATTTGAAAATGTTGTAGGACTTTGTACTGCCGAATGTCCATCTTAATTCCCCGTTGTTTCAAGTTACAATCTAATTAAACTTTGTTTAGGTAACTTGCGCAATATGAATGATGTAAAAAATGAAGAACGAAGCATCCTGAAATTAAATTTGAGGAAAAAATGGGATGCTTGGAACCCCTGAAGGTCCTATTGCCAAATTAACGTCGGATTAGGAATATAACATTTAAAACATTGTATAGTATCGCGACGAAGAAACAGAAAATACGTAAGGGTCTCTGAAACTTCTCTCATAGGAAACCTAAAAATATCAGTGTTTCGCCTCTTATTGTTCTCTCACTTTTATCACCGAAAGAATCTGGGCTTTTAGGTTATTAGACAGGTGCTCAAGATATAGGCATATGACAGTAAGAAAATCGTAATCAGCATTAGTTGTATTTTGAATGTTATGTGAATAATCGGGAAAAAGATTTCAGTAATACTCTTAAAAAATGGCGTCAGTTGTACCGATAGTACTAGCAGTAGCACTTTCCACCCAACGTTGTCATCAGTTCATAAGAAATTACTTAAGGCACAAGAGAGTCCCTTTTAGAAACAAATTAACTATAAACATGTACAACAAAGGAATTAGTAGATCAACTAAGTCAAATAGGCTCATACAATTAGTCAATTGTAACTATAAATTTGAGAACATTACGATCTAGCCTACCGTACTACCGAGAAAACCGAACATCTGGAAACGCGGCAAGTCTACCTAGCTCGGCACTCGCTGCACTCGCCAATCCAGCACGGCGTTGCAGTCACCCATCATCGCTGAAGAAATATATGTTGTATGAAATATGTCCAATGGGTGCGTAATATTACCGAGGTTGGAAACGTTTAAATATGCTAACGCTCAAAAATTGTAATATACTCCTTTCCACCTCCTACAAACCTCAACCTCAAACTTTTCGCACGTCCTAAATTTAAAATAGCTAGGATCTTCTGAAACGTCAAAAAAAAGTTTGAGCAATTTGTTTTTTTTTGCCTCAAGCTCCGCCATCACTAACCAGATTTTCAGAATTTACAACACTTTTTCATTCTTGTAGTGTAGTAACCTTGTGTGAAAATTAAGTTAAAATCCGAGCAATACGTAAATGAGTGACATGGTTTTCCATGATACACATATTATATAACAACCAATAAACATAATATCTCAGAAGGGTAGGTACGACTGAAGTAAAAAAATATACAGTTTGACCAGCAATTAGTTTCAAGTTCCAAACAGGCAAACTAGTTCAAATCGAAGACCGTCTATATTGAAATACGTTTCACTGGGGTTGTCTATCAAAATCTTGCTTAAAGCCCATTTTAGTACAGTTCAAAGTTACAGTAATTTATTATGCGTCAGGCTATTTCTAGCATACGTAACAAACTCATTGATATTCTGGGAGAAAACGGCATAAAGGCGCCGGGAATGACCTTGCAAGATCAGTTATACCACTTTATATGCATCAACAAAAGCGGAGTTGACCATGAATCGTCTATACGTTTTAGATGGTCACAATATGTTAAGGGAACGATAAATTTTCTTTTATTCTTACACAAAAGTTGGGATATATGGTAATCGGGGATACATTTTATGAAAAATTGGATGGTATTAGTAGCATACATTTATCAAAATCAGGAAGAAGGCATGCTGGAAGATAAATGTGTAGATGAGTAAAGGTCAAACGTATTTCCATTTACCGGAAAAGCACGATTTGATGCTCAAAATCAGGCACTCAAAGTTACCGCCTGCAATTTATATCGCTGCTTTAAAGCGCCAAGGTCTACATGTCTCTTCTTTAATGTTCCCTCAAAATACGAGAAGAGGAAATGTCATCGCGGTACTTAGCGAAGCTTCCCCATGGAAAACGAACTCCATTCACTGAAGCTTCAGATGGTGTACCGCTACGTCTTTTCGTACAATAGATTGCCTAGGCTTTTTATGGTTATTAATTTCAATCAATCACCATCCGCCCATTCTAATACTTTCTCCATCGAGCTTTGTAGCCTGTCGTGAGCTACTTCTCAGAAGCATGACTTTTTAGGGCCACAACTTGATAATAAAGAGAAATTTCAGAAAAAATAGTTTAAATACAATAATAATTCTTTGACCTTAATTTTAGGTTTGGAACAAGATCGAGTTGCAGTTTTCGTAAGCTTGTTTAAACATCATTTGGCTACTTTTATAGAGAAAAAATCATACCAACGCATTTTTTTTTTTTAAAGTGGACATTTCTGTCGGAATGTCGAAAAAAGCCCTCTAGCGGCCACATGTAAAACCACCAAAACCTCAAATATTATAACGTTTATGGCCCGAGAATAGCCCTTTTCAACCAGCCCATGATTGTTAAAATTGGCTCGGCCGTTTTTAAGATACATGGTATTTTTTACGGAGACCTTTAAGTACCCCCCATTTTTAGAAATACAGCAAAAATTGTCAAACAAAAAAGTTTACATTGTCCTCGACTCTAAAGATCAGGTATTTTTTGTTACGTTAATATAGCACAATTCGCAGCAGCATCAATTTTTAGGCTTAGCGACCAGTTCAGAAACTTGAAATTTTTTTCCTGATTTTCCTCTTGGCCATTTTAGTCATAACCTGTTTTACGATGGATAAGTTTCCTGATACAGTATCTCGCATTCTAAGTTGGCCAATGAGTAGGGGTTAGTCCAAGGACCGAACCCTGAGGGACACCGACTCGAACCAGGACATTGCTACTTTTTGATCCGAAATTTCATACATTCAAGGAAGGATTTCAATAGTTTTCAAGCCAAAAGGAAGAGCCCTTTTGGATAAGTTTATACAGGAGCTTGGAAGGACACAGCTTGTCAAATGCTTTTGAGACAATCAAAAAAATATAAAGAGGGAAAGTCATTGAAAAATTCTGCTCCCATATAGTTTCAAGTAAAACGGTCTCAGCTGACTGCTATTCCCTATCGAGTGATTTTTATTTCGCAGTTACGGGCAAGAAAGCCAAAGTGATGGAGAGACGTCTAGCAAAGGACTTCCACATAGGCATAGTGGAGACTCTGGTTAGCGAACTGACCGAGAAACCTACTGATTCGAAGAGCATCTTCGGACAGATTGCGAAGGTGATAGGGAAGAGGACGACCTTGAAGAAAAATAAGAAGGACTGGAATGCCCTCGTCAGGAAGAACACGGTCGCTACCAATCCCATTGGCAGTGCCCAGGAGTTTGAAAATCAGCAGGTTAAGAGGCAGAGTTTGAGAAGGCACATTTTGAGTAATGTGAAGCAACCGAATAAATTGGATGATGAGAAACTAGTCGGTAAGACGCGTGAACAATTTTAATACCATAGGAATAGATATTTTGCGCGATTTGAGTGCATAAGACTTCTGCTCTCCTAAAACCAGAATATCGAAAAGCTGATATCAGATTTCTGATCTTTGCGCCTGATTTTTTCAAGAAAGGGCTACTTAAACTTTTTTAAACATTCTTAAACAATATGCAGTTCATATTTTCAAGTTTCTTGAAACAAAATTTTCTTCTTGTCCTGGTCTACAAGTAGCCTATTTTTGGAAGGTCATTCAGTAATGTAACTCCTGAGACTTGTCTTGTGCTTTAAGTACTCATAGGATACCAAATCTGGTCTAGTCATACTATGGACTGTATGTCTTGATTTATGTTTATTCTATTAGGTTTCACCACGATGGTGGCAATGGAGTCCTAGATGCTAAAGTATCTCGAAGCTTCATTTGAAGTAGAAAAATGGAGCTTTCGAGGCGATCCGTCGATCTCAATGAAAATTTGATGTCACATTCTCGATATACGCATCTGACTTGGCCAAGAAAGGTGTTTCGAAATTGTACCTATATAGGCATTTTTGAAAATTTGTCCGAACTTCTAAAATCTCATAACTGCAAAATTTCGACCTCGTGCGTATGCGTATAGTATGGTCTTAAAAAAAGCTATAATACATGTATATATATGTTAGTAAAAAATGGAGCTTTTCTGATGTCTTGTAGATCACAGCCCAGAATTGGAATCAGATCTTTACTCTACACGCCCAACTTACCCAAATAATCCGTTGTGTCCGATGTGTCTCTTTCCATGTAACATATCTTTGAAAACGGCCAAGGTCAACTTGGAACTTGAATAAGGAGTTCAATAGTGACCTTGGATTTGACCTTGTATTTCAACTTCAAGATTACTTCATGTGCGAGGCTAGAGATAATTTCCAGGAGTTTGGCAGGATTATTGATAGAAAAATTCTTCTCCAGCAACTTTATCAAAGATTTCAATGGTGACAACGGATTCAACTTCATCTTCTGAGTTATTTCAAGCTAAACCTTTTTTAACCAATAACCCCTCCTCTGACATGCGCTGAAACGGACACATCTTTGTAACATGATGCGACATATCCTTATGAAGAGGTTGGGAATAGGAAGATGAGTCAGTCAAGCACTTGGTTTGCGAGAATCTATTCTGGGAGAATATTGCTTTCTATGGCTAGCGTAAGGGAAACTTCGCTGAGTCGTATCACCACTTTTTTCAATAGACAGTGGTGTCTAATTGTGACCTTTGGTGTTCGTCATTCTTTGTATACAGTATACAGAATCGTGACCTTGAATTCAACCTCGCCTTATTTTAAAGTGAACATCTTTTCAACCACGAACCACATTTCTGACACCACCAAGCTTTACGTTCTAATACGTTCTCATGTACTCGAGGCCAAATCACCTTGTTAAAATATTCAAAAGGTCTGACCTCAGTCTTTTCCAATAGTAATCCTGCTTATCTTCTAGGAGTTTTCCTTAGGCTCTGATGATATTTGACCTTCAGAGGTGACCTTGAAATTTTAATATATGATCACACGTAGAATTTTCTTTTCCTGCGATTGACGATGTGAAAAAGGGAATTTTCATTTGAAAAATAAAAGTTGACCTTGATGTAAGCTTGAAGGTGATGGTTAAGGTCAAATTCAAGGTCACCATTGAACTCCTTATCCCAAGTACAGGACGGAACTTGATATTTTCCTAGGAAAAAGACTGCCGTCCCTTTATTTTTATTACATTCAGTCACGCAGGACATCAAGGTGACCACAAAATCAGCAGAACTAGAATAAAAAGCTACCTCCTATATATTCAAACTTTCAGTCTCACAATGCAAAATTTCTAATTCCGCCCGCTGTTCTTACAAGTGAATAAAACTCTGGGGTAGTTTGAGGCAATGATTTTGGCCAGTTTCAGAATATTGTTTTAGCGATAAATCCAATTTTTGCGCTTTCTGGAGTAAATTATTTGTATTTAGGATGAATTAGGAATCAAGGCTACTTTTCCTAGCCTACCAAAAATCTCACTTTCCGGTTCCAGTTTTTTCACTACCGATTTTTGCCGGAAATCTCAAATCTCTGCTTGTGATGCGACAAGTCCTCAATCTTGCAATCGTCTTACGATTTTTTTCAGCAAATGTGAGCTTACCATATTCATCCGTCTTTCAGAATATAATCCGAACCTCTCCGAGATTCCGAGGACTGCCAGAGTGGCTTACGCCAAATTCATGACCAAGAAAATTGAGGGTGAGTACACCAGCGGAGCTAAGGAAAGGAAACAATCGGGGGTATCATTTCACGGTAAGTATTATTTTTTCTCTATGTTTTTAATAAAGAAGCTGGACAGTTGGCATTAATGCTGCAATCTCAATTTTGTATAATTGTTCGTTTACGCATTGTTTTATGAATTTTCCGTAATTTTACAATTCTTGTCTATTAAAATTACATCACTATGCATTTTGAGTATTCATAAAGAGATTTTTGAATTTCGCCTTAATTATTTTTAAATTTAGTATCATTATTCAGTTTATTGAATTCAAATAGTCCCTTTTGAAATACAGATTTGCAATTTTGCATATAAAACTCCTTGCCTCTAGTCCCGTAGTTATGATAATAACTATTTAATTTTGTGATGTTTTTTAAATGTGGTGGTGATAAATTATTTTCTTAATTTGAATACGAAAATCAGAACTAAATAATATGTGAAATTCTTTATAATCAACCACTGTAGTTGTTCTAAGCATATGTTGCTTTTATTTATTTATTCTCATAGCTTTAATTTGTATAATTTTCAATTTGGAAATACGTTTTCATTTGCTGAGAACATGATGGCTGAACAATATGAAAAATGGGGAAGAATTATAGTGTTACACAAGTTTTTAAGATTACATACCAGATTATGGGAAACTTAATAAAAGTAGTTTATCTATTTTGATATTTTTGAAATAATTTATTCATAATATTATTGAAACTTGGGGAAACCTTCTTCTGGAAACCACTTCCAAATTTGCGGTACCCTAGAAACTAGTAAGTTCTCGATATGTATAATTCGGTAGAGTCAGAAATAATCAGGGCTAGAACACAGCGCTGTCATGAAGAAGAGCTGTTAAGGATTTTTTTCGTAATAACCGCTTTATAAATAGAGGGTGTCCTTAAGATTGGAACTTTCATTTACAGATTGTATAAGTCATGCAGCAATAAACAAATCTTCCTTGTAACACATACACCAAAGGTACAAGATGTCCAGTGGGAAAGTTCACATTTCAAATTTAAATTACGCGGCAACCGTATACGCGAGGAAGTGGGGAGAGGTCTTGATCGACGAGTTCGGCTTCCCGGTTAAATAGTCACAATGGAACGTTGGACTGGAGCGCAACGTGCTTTCGCTATCGAGGCTTACTTTAAGAGTGTTGATTCATACGCAGCTGCACTTCGGAAATTTTGTACATGATACAACATTCGCCGACCAAAAGATGCCACAAGTATGACCCTATTGAAAAAGTGGATTAAGAGGTTCCGTGAAACAGGCTCTACTCTTAGTCCCACACCTACGGTATGAACCGACGAAAATGTGCGTCGAGTAACGCACATTGCAAATCTTCGGCATTCTATACGGACGCATTCCGCTGCTTTGGGAATCCCTAGGTCAACACTACATGGCATAATGGCAAAAATGGGTTTTATCCTTATAAAATCCAATCAGTCCAGGCTTTACAGGAAGGTTATTACGTATCCCTCAAATCTTGTGCTGAATTTTTTTCCTACGTAACGCAGACTCGAGAACGTTATTTTCAGTGACGAGGCCCATTTTCACGTAGACGGTTATGTGAACAAGCAGATATTGGGCACCAACGAATCCAAAAGAGAAACGTCAACAACAGCTACATAGTCCATAGCTGACTGTTTGACTGTTTGGTGCGCGATATCCTCTAGCGGTATTATTGGGTCATATTTCTTTGATGTTGAAAACGGTCATGCATTGACAGTCAATTCCGAGCGACATGACTGACACTTTTTTTGCTCCTATTGCAAGAACAGATCATCGATTTAACAGAAACACATGATTTCAACAGGATGGGGCCACTGCCCATACTTCCAGAGAATCGATGAATCGATGGACATAGGGAAAGCACTTTTTTCTCGAATAGTTATATCAAAGTTGTGAGACATTCACTGGCCTCCTAGGTCACCCGACATCACGCCATGCGATTATATTTCGTGGGGTTATCTAAAGTCAAAAGTGTATTCCAATAACACTGGAGGAGATTAAAAACAACATTCGACGAGAAATAAACAACATCACCTCGGTACTCTGCAAGAGAGTGTTTTAGAATTTACGCGTGCGAGTTGAAGAGTGTGTCCTAAGGGATAGCAAACATTTGGACGGGATGATATTCAAGAAATAAAACCCGCCGACTTTACGAATATGTTGATGGTAATAAATATTTTTTTTCTCAAATCAAAACGTGACGTGTCCCATTAGATACCCTGTACTATTTATCAAAGTACGCGGTCAAAAGTATAAAGCGCCACTAACGAAAATTGCCATCGGATTGATCTTACTGTATAGGTCAGCCCCAGATAAATGACGCTATGGATTGCATTTGTATTCTTTTGTGTTGCTTGCTTTAGAAAGACTACTGAAATTGTTTCAAACGACGGTTCTTTACGATGACCTAGACCAGGACGTTCAAGGTCAAAATAATTTTATTTAAGGTCCTAACAGAATGGCCTGTCCACTTCCAAGGTTAAAAGTATAGTTCACATTCACCTTGATTCGACCTTCAAAGCCACGCTGAATACAGTGTTCAAAGTTACATTCAAGGCCACCGCTCAATACCATGGAAAAATACTAAAACTCTATGGGAGAAAAACAGTCTTCCGATGTATGTTGTTGCAAGGCTGCGTTAAAATACATTTTACGAGGTTTTACGACAAAAAGGATATAAAAAATGCGTTGATCAAGTGAGCCGAACTCTTTGGAGATTACGTCAAAAATAGGATTGTAGCATTGATTAACGTATTCCACATAGCCAACCCAATGCTATATTCCCGCGTTCAAAAAATCATCCAAGATAAAATGAGATACCTCAGCGTCATCTATGAGCATTTTCGAAGTAGATTTCTAATTAGTGCAAATATGAGATATGGTATCTCATTTAATCTTAGATAATTCCCAGAATGCGAGAATATCGTATCAGTTTGGCTATCTTCAAGTAGAATATGCTCAGCGATGATTGTAGCTTATAGCAATGTTTCTACCTTCAAGTTAAAAGGAACGGCTTGAAATAAAAAAATATTACGGTTAAATTCGTCAAGATGTTCCAGATAACTTGCTGAAATGTTATCTTTCCTTGAAAAATGAAATCAGCAACTCAAGCATTCGCAGCAGGCGACCCTATCTTATTTCTCCCAACAGCAGAGGTAATAACAAGTGAATAACGAGTTTCAAATTGAAATCACCTAACTGTTGAGGCGAGGCGCCCTTCCACCTTAAGAAAACCGGATACCCGACTTTATTATTTTTGTTTCCGCTTTCCATGGTTTCCAGGGAGCCGTTGTATGCTTCCGTTTGCTGTTTCATTAATTACGGTTTTAATTATCAATATAGGCTGGACAAGATTTCAACGAAGGAGCGTGATATTTTGGTAAACACATTTTTGAATTAAACGGTGGCACTGACTACGTAATTCGGTTCAGAAAATGCTTCTTAAAAAAATGTGATAGGACAGAGCTGTATTGGAAAATCAATTGTACGCGGGACCCGTTCGTAAATAAATCAGTTGTGGTACGAGTATCCCCGACCTGGTCGAATTCCACACGTTATCCAAGCTAAACAAATGGCGTCAAGTAGATTGGCTCTATACTTCCTATGCCTTCGTAACAAAGCGGACCTTGGAGGTATAATAATAATAATAATAATAATTTATTCACATCAATTAAAATTGTGAACAAACTGATATGCCACAAAAGGAAAATATCCTTGTATGTGGATATCATGCTAACCCAACATAAATATAACATAGCACTTAAAATAAAGAGATAGGTCTAAAAAAAATCTATATAATATTATATTTTATAAAATATATAAAATATTTTGGCGATTTATGATATCATTTTGGACCTAAGTATATGGAATAATTCAACGTTATTTCTTCTTTTGATGTTGCAATAATTATTTGTTTATTTTTATTTCTAGTATCATATTCATCATTTTTATAAATGGTCGAATGGTTGTTTTTATGAAATTCATCCCATTATACCAAAATAATTTTTCTATATCTGAAAGTTTCGATCCTATAAACAGCGATTTTGAGGGATATAGTAAAGGTTTGTTATGAATTGTTTTTATGAATAACTTTTGTATTATTTGTGAATAATCTGGATGGTTATCATTCGTAGATCGATAATAATTCCATAGGTTGTGTTCACTAAAATGCGATGTATAGTGAATCTATATGTATACATCTCAAACTGTGTAAAATATCATATTTCTGTATTAAGGTAGATGTAACGGAAATATCTGTGATATTAGTGACTTCTCACTAAAAGGTCATCTTTCACTGATATCAACAATGCGACATTTAAAACCAACCACCCCCTACAAATCCCAATTTTCAACCACTCCATAGGATTTCTAAACAGGAGCAGAAATATCTGAAGCGTCGAAAAATGGTGTCTCGGCGGTTTTTTGTTTCTCTTCGGTAGATCCGCAGTCAGTGATTCAATTTTCAAGACCTAGCATAGTAGTCACCTTGTGGTAAGGTAACATCAAAGGTGTATTTTCGGAATTATAAAGAAGTTAAAGATTAGGGAATAGACAATAGACGGACAGGCCTTAGTCACTATCTCGGTGAAGTAGCATCCAGGTGTCTCGCCACTACTTGGTGCATGTGCAAAGTCTAGTTACTTGACTTCATAAACTATGGAAGTATCGTCTTTACAAAAATATTGCCTTTAACCGTTTTAACACAGTTTCTTGTTGTTCAAAAATATCTCAATGACACAAATAGATGCTATTCTACCTGTCGGCGTTCTTGTAAGCACGTAATGTCACAAACCTCTTCATCGGTTTTTATCAAATTTGGGCAGCAGTATAAAATAAGCTAATTCTACTTAATTTTTGCGGAGGAATAATGAGCAGAAGACACATCGAGACTAAAGAGACTAAAAACTTCGTTTTAAGACGTTTCTCAGGTTCTGATACTTTTGGGTATAATGAAACTGATTAAATAAGGAGTGTTCAAAAATTCGTAACTACATCACGATGCACATTCAGGAAGCATGTTTGCGAAATACCTGTCGATATTCCCTTATTGTTATTACGCCCGTTAGATGCATTGTTGCTACAAAAAGATGTACCTACTTATATCGACAAAAAAATCGCTGGCACTTAAGAACACAAATTGAAGTTTTGACTAAATGGGTACACTCATGGCTCATAAAATGCAGAACAAGATCGACTATCTCAATTTCAAGCTCAATTCCACTGTTTCGCCGAACCCGAAGCGATACTTCTTCCTAACATTCAAATAATGGCCTATTATAAACAGTTTATTATTCCGCACAAAGGGTATTCGGTAAGATTAAGGGGTAGAAGTATTTACCGTTTGCCTGCTACTGCTGCGTCATCGATTTCGCATACAAGGATAGGTCGTCGTTCATTACTTCAAGTTATGAACACATAAATCGTCGAATTTTTGTCATTTAAACTTAAAGTTATTACCGGAATCAGAAGGTTCTTAACAATAGAACGTCAAAGATACAGAATCTATCGCCCCCTGCACCGGCAATCACTACAAATTTTTTTCTGAAAATGATTAGGAGACTCTGACTCGACTGCATTTCAAAAACTGCGTTTTTTTCCCTTCAAATAGTAGTAATGTTCGGTAAATGACTTGATGCACATGCGATATAACATCTAAAAAACATATGGAGTGGGAAGTACCATGAGCAATCTTCCAGCATTGAAACTGCAATAAAGCTATTAAATAATGATACAAAAAACATAATTAATTGGTTGAATGCAATAAACTCAAATTAAACAAGAACAAAATAAAATGTATGATTATAGTAAGATCTTTAGATGGAAAAATGGAAAAACCATGAAAAAATTGAGTCAATCAAAGCATTTAAATATTTGGGCACATACAGATATAGTAGATTAAAATTTGAAGGGGACTGTTGATTTCAAAAATGTCCAAAAAAATAAATCACTAAGCGTTTATTTTAAAAAAACTGTATACAGCGCTATCATTCTTCCTCATTTGTTATGTTGTTCGACTACTTTGTTCACTGCAAATGAAAGCGTATTTTCAAAATTATAAATATTCCAAATAAAGCAATGAGAATCATCTAAAATATATTATGTGATATACTGTGTAACATTGATCTTGTATCATTAATGCTAAATAAATTTGCGACAAACAAACAAACTGCATTTCTCTAAAAATCACAAAGCTTATCCCTGTTCTTTGGGTTTCGTGGTTTAAATCCCATAAAATATTATTTTTTCTGTATCTATGAGTATTCGCATGTTATTCGAAAATCCCAATAACGTAATTAGGATAGTCTTCCTAATTTTCTAGACAATATCCCGCTTTGCGTTCATTTTCTAACAAAATGTTGTACATGTTTTGCGAAAATTGTAGCAAAAAGGCTGCAGCCAAGGCGCTAAAAGTGCATTATTTTATCTGAAAAACGTCCACGCGGAGAGTATTTAGAATAATAAATGCTTATGACAAATGAAGAATATGGGATTTATACTTACAACTTTGTATGGTTGTTAGTGGTTGTGGTTGTTTAGTTCTTGTATTGTGCCCAATCACCAGATTGGAGTAATATGAAATCAAATAAACAATCGCCCAACACCGCGCACGTACTCAAAATATTCAAAAGCACTCTTGAAGGAAGTTTGTACACTGAATTTCCAGCAAAGCGTGTGATTGCGCGCCTACTGAAACTTTAAAGTTATTTTTAGTATTATTACTGTACGTACATAATATTCTAAAATGCCATCGACAGGTTGATTTATTAATTTTATTACTGCATGAGGCTCATCGCAACTTGGGAGGTTTTATAAACACAAGTAGCTGGATAGAAAGTTAGGATAGCTTAGCACACAGGGAACATCTTAACGCAAGGCTACTCAATAAAGACGATTTCTATTTTAGTAATTCTTAGAAATTGTACGATGAATATCCAATTATTTAATTATTATGTGAAATGATAAACCAAAGAGCGTCTTATGCTAAATAAATGAATAAGCAAAATTGAACGAAAATATCTCTAAGTCTCGGGTGGGTAAGGTGATACAATCAATGTGTTGTTTATATTTTTCTAGTTTAGGCATCAAATTTGATGTTAACAGTAACACGTCACAAATATTTTGTTCAGTTAATGATGTGCGATATTTATCTTTTAAATAATTGAGGTTGAAAAAACGTTTTCACAAATATTATGTATGTCGATACGAAAGTGTCAGTGTGTCAGTTATTACCAGAAAGTCTTTTTTTTGTGCCAATTTTCCTTCTGAACAATTTTGTGGTTTCGAAAACACTTTTGCGATAAAAAGATTTCTCAGCGCATAGTAATTTTGAAATTCGTTAGGTTCCAACTGATTGACACGATAATGATTTCGGTCGAACTTATTATGAAAGGATTCATAAAAGCATCTGTCATAAGCATTCAATTTTAGATTCGTACTTAGAACAAACCTCCGGTAATCCGACAAACATTATGCAGGGCAGTGTCGGACTATTGAATTTGTCGGATTATAGAGCACTGCCTAGGAACCCCCTATTGTCCGGAATTTTTTACAAAAGAGTACCTTGTAATCCAACAAATTACATATCCAATGATAAGATTATATATGTTATGCATATGTATGTACTTTGGAGTAAAAATCATACATAGTTTATGTATGTCGAATTTAGTAAATTAAATAACAATGCAGAGCTTACGTTTTATTACAAAATTGAGAATAAATGCACATACATATGTACCAAAATAATCAAGAATTATTAATCAAAATCATTAATGAATTTATCAAATTATGAAGTTTGGAAATATTCATCATTTTTTTTTTGTTTAAGGTTGTTATAATGCGAGATCAGAGCTTTGTCCCTCAGTCTTCTCAAAAGGAAAAGTTCGTTGTAGGATGTCTCAGCCCATTGTAAACCTAGCTCAAAGGCGTTAATTGCGTCTTGTGCTGTGACTTGTGGAGCAGTTGCAATCACGTCGTCGTTATTTTCCTGATTGTTTGTTGTATAATTAGAAACCTCTTTTATAATCTCTTCGTCAGACATTTCATGAAAAACATTTTCCTCTTTATCCACTCCACGGTACCAGATTTCCAAATCTTCCGGACTTATCTGTGTTTCAGTAGCGACGTGTTCTATAACTTCCGAAGTAACACTGATTCGTGGAACGTTGCTAGGAGTGGTGATTATATCTGGTCATAACTTTTTCCAAGACGATTTAATAGTTGATGACGGTAACGCATTCCACGACTGACAAAGAGCAAAAACCAAGTCTTTCATATTAAATTCTTTCAAAATTTTTTCTATTGGTTGGTCTTTTGAGACGGCTCTCAGAAGTAGGTTTTTCTTATAGTCTTGCTTGACAAACTGAATGATATTCTGGTCCATTGGTTGAATCAGTGCAGTGCAATTTGGCGGAAGAAACATCGCAGTGATGCATTTATCCTCAGTTGTTAGTTTTTCTTCAGATGGATGACCGGGAGCGTTATCAAGAAGCAACAACGCTTTTTGAGGAAAATTATGATCTTTTGACCATTTTATAATTTGAGGTACGAAGCATTCATCAAACCACTTTTTGAAAAGGTCTATTGTCATCCATGTACTTTTTTGTCCGTAATAGTGTACAGGTGAATCAATGTTTTTGAATGCCTGTGGTTTATTAGATTTCCCAATGACCATCATCTTAAGCGCGTGTGTGCCCGCAGCTTTAGCACATGGTAGTATGGTTACACGCTCTTTACTTACTTTTCGTCCAGGTACGGATTTTTCGTTACAAGAAACGAAAATGTTGTTAGGCATGACACGCCAAAAAAGCCCTGATTCGTCTGCATTGTACACCAGTGACGGGTCAAGATTTAAATCGTTCACCTTGTGCAAAAATCTTAATTTAAAGGGCTCTATGCAGGTGTCATCGTTAGAACGTTTCTTTCCAGTAATAGTCATTAAACGTATGCCAAACGTTCTAGCCATCCTTTGCTGGCCACAAAATCATCTTTTTTATTTCCTTATAAAAAAACTTAGCTTTCATGGTCAACGTGGGTCCTGAAATTGGTGCATGCCTATTTCTTTCCTGAAGAAACCACATGCACAAAGCTTCTTCCACTTCTGGATGTTCAGCTTTCTTGAGTGCCTGTCTCTTGCCTGGCCCGCAGTCAGTAGTTGACACGGATGTTGGATTACAGGGGGCGCCGGATTCGACAGGGGCTGGATTATCGGGGGTCCACTGTAGTAATATTGGGCGTATCTCCCAGATAATTTGGTGCGGGGAAAAGGTCAAGATTTTCTGTGGCTAAGTTATTTGAACTCGCATACGAGTTAAACATAGTCGAAGAAGAATTATTTTTGTCCTGTAAGGGAAATCGACGGTACCCAAGATACGCGACATGCAAAACTTTTTTCAGTTAGCGGGAGTTTTATAACTTTCTTGTGCGGGCCATTTAAAACTCGTCCGCGGGCTAAAGTGTCGCTCGCTGTTGTGAAGTTGAGCAGCCTTGTTCTAACGACTGATCACACCTTACTGATGATTGGCTGCTAATAAGCATTAGGCAATATTGTATGTAGCTGGTCATGGTTGCAGGCACCGAAAGTGAACAGGTTGAGTTCAGATTGTGTCTACTGCACATATTTATGACAGTGAATCAAATTTTAATAGAAAACTAGCATCTTTGACTTGCTACTCCGGTAACAATATCAGTATCTTTCTGAATCTTTTGCAGCTTTTCAGATTCTCAAAATCAAAGGTGATTTGAGAATAACAGCAAGAACCTTCTGTTCAAAGTACGGAATTGGTAGCAATTAGAGTATGAAAGGTGGTGGAGGAAAATGTGCTTGGATAGTACGTTTCCTTTATTGAACAAATCGCCTTTAGTGGCTTAGTTGGGATCTCTTTCTTCAGATGGCGCTGCCACGTATGGTTCTGAAAAGTATAGAAGATCGTATTACCTGTCGGGTACTAGTAATCTGTGTCATACATATTAAATGCCACTTGATGGATATTTGAAGAATATTAGTGACGTCTCTTCAGCTTGGTTTCATCAGTAACACTGAAATATATCCCTGTATTTTTCAAGGGGGATACTGTAGGGACCAGGTTCATAAAAGCTTCTAGTGTTATGTTTGTACGTGCAAAAGAAACTACAAAAATTTTGTAATACAGATTTATTTATTGACTTCGTTCTAAGTAATTCCACCACATTCAGTACACTTCTCCATCCGCCAAAACCGTTAGAAAACCGTTTTACTATTAGCTTCATTTTCACGTGCGGAAACAGTGCAAAGTCGCAGGGAGCAAGATCTGGACTGTAAGGAGGGTGCTCAATAAGTTTCAGTCCAGTAGTGGTCAAATACTCGATGCAGGCTTTGGCGCGTTGAGCTGGAGCGTTGTCATGGCGAAGGTACCAAATGTGCATTCTTGACTTTGGCCGCAGGTTTTCCATAGACTCTATGACTTTAGTCAGGCACTATTCCGTGTACCACTCAGCTGTGACTGTCTTCTGTATGTCCAAAACGACACGCCTCACAATCCCGCTCGATTTGCAAAATACAGCTATCATTTTTTTCGTAACATATCGGGATTTCATGACAGCTACTGGTGTGTCCCCATCATCAAAGACCCAAACTTTGTTTTAGCCTTGGCCGGCGCATCGTAACAATAGAGTTGTCTCCTCACCTGTCACGCTGTTCGCATACCGAGATTGCCCCTTATTAAACATTTTCAGCATCTTTCCGCACCAGGTCGTACGACGAGTCTTCTGATCTTCCATCTGACTATGCGGTAGCCAGAGAGAATAAAGTTTTCCTACTTGTAAATGGTCATGCAGAATTGAAAGAATAGCTGATGCATGAAGGTGTAAGGTCTCCTCTATCTGTTGGTATGTTACTCTCCGGTCTTCGTCAAGCTTTTTCGTAACAGCAGTAATATTTTCCTCTGTTACTGACGTTCGCGGCCTTCCTTCACCTTCAAGGTCCTGCAGAGTGAAATTGCCCCTTCGGAATTCTCTGTACCACCTGAATATATACGTACGATGAGGACAATCATTCTTTCTTCTTCTAAGCTATCCTTAAACCACGCGTAAAGTTATACCGTAAAACAACCCTTCTCTCACAACGTGACCACGATGCCATAGTCCTCACTTTACACTATCAGTACGGATGAACAATTAAATCAACAGACGTGCAGCTAGCGGCTATTATGCACTCATGGATTCGTCTCAACGTGCAGTAACATGCAGCCTCTTTTGTCCGTTTGTTAAGTCATATTGCAAGACTTTTATTGTACTTATTATCCTAGAAATATTGCCATTTTCTGCCTCAACCACCCTGTATATAAAGATCTACACCGAACTAACTTCAACGAGAAAGTAAATTAAGCCATTACAAGGACCGTAATGTATCTCGTAGAGAGCTATTTATAAGCAACGGTATATTTTGAGACGGTTTTTGTAAATCGAAGTGTTAATGTATTAATTTTATTGCTCCAGAAAGCACGATTGACGAGAATAAACAACGGAGGTCGTCTCGAGACAGTAAGAAGTCGGTCAAGTCTGAGAAACAAACGGAAGGTCAGTCAGGTGCAGGCGAAGAGGTAAGGAATATAACGACGGACGTTACGAAATTAACAGTACTGACGTTAGAAAGATTGGCTTTAAACATTACAGCACATTAATGGATGAGGAAGAGTAATCATAATCTTTACAACTCAATCGGACCGACTAATATTTCTACGGAGCGCTAAGGCGATATAGATCGCATTTGTTATGGATTGCTTATCGTTCTCATTACCCTGTTAGCCCAGATTGTTGTGGAAGGTAACATGAATCGCGGTTTCAAAATCTCTAACAAACATATTAAAAACAATGTCTTGCTCATTGAAGTAACATATTTGAAAACTGAACTTCGATTTGAAAGTTGGCAGGTCTGCATTCGAGAGGCTCAGGTCAAATAATCTTTTATTCCTTTTACCTTATTTAAATAAACATGAATGTCACATACTTTCGATGGCATACTCAAAATGTTATTGCAATCTCGAGGCGTTTAAACTGAGTTATGTTTCGGTGAATTGTTGCCCATTTATATTTTCTTGAAACCTGTTAGCCGTTATTTCATTTCAGATTCCCAGAACCGCGTTATCTCCTCTCCCAGAAGTCAGTACTCCAGGTGAGTAGGAAACAATGTGTTGATAAGCTTATTTTGCACTTTACTTACTAAATACGTTATAAGTTAGAATATTTTATGGAAGCATGTAGTATTGAATATGGTATTGAATTGAATTGAATTGAGTATTATGCAAAACCCATTTCGAAATTGAGATACGCCGCAGCGACTCGATTATAAAAAATAAATAACTAGCCTCAGCTCCCCCATATACTGAACATGGCATATTGAATATGGGTAGATGCTAATTACGAATAATATTAATTTTATGGATATAACTTTCAATTATTTTACACATTAAACTCTGACCTTAACATCGTCGATATGCAGCGACCTACTAAGGGCTACTTTCTCCAGCCTTATTAATTGTATATTTCTTTACAAACAGTTGGTCGCATCTCAAAGAAAAGCATATACGGGTGTTCATTTGAAAACTTGCCACCACGCATTTATCAAAAACCACTGATTAAAAGAAAAAAGGCAGAGACACGTCAAAAGATTTGTCAACGGGGACAACTTTTTGAACAAAAATTACTTCACCCCTTTCACCCTCTGCATGGCAAGAGGTATCGAGTAATAGCTTGCTTGAAACGACCTTCGAAGTCCTTTATTTTGACGTTAGATTTTTTAAAATCGGTAGATTCGTTTTCAAGAGAATTAGAAATTTATCTTAATTTGATCAGATAGAAAACAAAAACACCCCAAAACATCACTTTTTATTTCAATAAGTGTTCAAAATGTTGCCCGTTATTGGTTAAACAATGATATAGGCGATGTTAAAATACCTGACGGACATTTTCAAAAACATGATGTCGGATATAATGGCAGCTTTCGGGTTGGAGAGTGAACAATATACAGGGTGTGAACGTTATGGTAATCATTATTGAAATGGGTAATAGGGAGGTCAAGACAACTCTAAAAGTTCATATGACCCATGGTCCAAATGTTAATAGATTTTTGTCTAAATGGCTTTATAGTTTACAACTTTAAGTGTTTTATATCGACCACAATCACCACAATCTTACTAATTTTTATAATCTAATCTAAACCGTTTTTAAATTGGGTAATTAATAAAAAAAATGGCATTAAGTTTTTCTAAGTTAAGCCAAAATTTGTAGTCAGCCAGTAAGTAAGTTTCATTAAATTAAATATTTAAACACACATGACAACAGCGCGTCGACCTTTCATCACTCTTATTGCACCGGCACTCGATCGCATACGGTAACAGTGGTTAGTTACCGGGCATCGAGCGTGTTGTTTTGTTTTTGTTCTTGAACGTCGTCGATTTATTTACAATGTTCTCGAATCAAGAGTTCGCCGAGAGATTGTTAGTTTACGGTGAAGCTCGTCAGAATTCAAATCTTGCAGCTCAAATTTATCGCGACAGACTTCGCCAACGGGTACACCCAGACAGAAGGACATTTGTGCAAGTGTACCAAAGACTTCGAGATACAGGAAGTGTTCAGCCCACTAATATTCGCACTCGTGAAAGACAGGTTACTGTAGAGCAGGAGGAACAAATTTTAAATATCGTGGAAATCAATGCAGATATCAGCACTCGGGAATTAGGCCGTCGCGTAGGACTATCGCATACCATAGTCTATAGAATCCTATGGGAAAATTTGCTTTATCCTAACCATGTACAACGAGTGCAGGCCTTGTTACCCGAAAACTATCCTCGCAGACTAACATTCTGTCAGTGGTTTTTGCACAAAAACATTGAAAATCCGGATTTTTTTAAAAATATTCTAGCGACGGACGAATGTACGTTTACGCGAGACGGGATATTAAATTTCCATAACACTCACACGTGGGCCCAAGAAAATCCTCATACCATTCGTGAAGGTCATTTCCAACAACGTTTGAAATAAATATTTGGGCGGGTATTCTTGACGGTCAGGTAATTGACCCTTTCTAGTTACCCCCAAAGTTGTCAGGAAAAGGATACCTTAGCTTTCTAGTCAATAACCTACCAGAACTTTTGGAACAGACCTTAGACAACATGCCGTTACAACGGAGACAGAATTAGTGGTTTCTTCATAATGGGGCACCACCACACATTTTTAGAGGCATCATTCAGTATTTGAATGAACATTATCCAAATCGCTGGATCGGTCGAAAAGCTCCTGATTCTCGAAAATGGCCAGCAAGATCTCCTGACCTTAATCCGATGGATTTCCGGTATTGGGGAGAACTTAAAGCGAAGGTTTACGGGGCTGTCCAATAACAACTGAAGCACACCTTCGCGAAAAAGAATTTAATGCGGCTGAAATAATAAATGGACAACTTCGAGGACCTAGAGTAAGAAGCAGATGGGTTTTTCGTAATGAAACTTATGTGGAAAGTGGAGGACGACACTTTGAACACCTTCTTCAAATACAAAAAAAGTGCAGTGTGGGTTTTAAAAATAAAAACAATGTATGTATCAAATTGTGTTCCCTATTCATAAGTGAATTTTTTTAATACGTTCAATAAACTTTCACACACCAGATGAAGCGCTGAGACAGTTAGTGGTAAGTCCATTTTTTTTAATTGTGTGCATTTTACGAGTACATTATCAAAAAAATAAATAATACCTAAGTGCCAAAAGTAATAAACTACATCTTTATTAACACAGCGTTCCGTCGTAATTTGCGACTGGAATTGCGGCGTTGTCAGATTTATTTTACTTTAAAGTCGCTTTTGTCCAAAAAAATGCCGTTTTTACCCCCATGTTATATGAAACTTTTTGCTCCTTTTAACCCCCTCTATCATCCATTTAAATAATGACTATCATAACGCTTACACCCTGTATTTCAAATGGCTCCATAGAAAAAGGTCCAATGGCGTCAAACCAGGAGATCTAGCAGGCCATTCTATAGGCCCTCTTCGCCATACCCATTCATCTGGAGACTCGTCGTCTAGCAATTGCCGAACCGGAAGAATATAGTGAGGAGGAGCGCCGTCTTGCTGGAAATATATTTCAGCCTCATCAAGTATAGGGTTTCCATCCTCTTCGATTTTGTTTTCAATGGTTTCAGTGATAATAAATAATAAATAAATGTCTCCAAACAAATTTCCATTAATAAACAATGGCCCATTCACTTTGTTTCCTAACATGCAACAAATCCATTTAGATAAAATGTGCATTCATCACTAAAGCAGATATTCTTCACATGAATGATATTATCATTAATCGCTGCAGTCACTTGATCATGAAACTCGGCTATCGAAATCATCTTCGGTTAACTTGCAATATGTTCATTTTGAATGGATGAAATTTATGGAGTTTAGTAACCGTGTGTACAGAGCGTAATGAAATACCACTCGCAGCAACAACATTGCGTAATGGAGCATTAAGATTTATTCCAAAATGACTTAAAGCTTCAACTTGATCACGTTTTTTATTTGCAACAGATTGAGTAAATTTAGTAACAAGGTCCAAAACTTACCTATACCTAAGTTCTTCCCCGGATGTCTGGCGTTAAACATGGCGGCATTCTGCCGAGCACAATGATTTTGGGCACCATAAATTAGAATCATTTTCACCCTTTCGGCTAGTGTGTAAACTATTTTGGAAGTAAAATCTGAATCAACAAATTAATTTTCACTATCCGAGATTGTGACAAAGGTAATTGACAGCAAATTAAATTCTTTCTTTACCTTAGCAAGAAATAACTAAACAGGTCTAACAATGAATACAGTTCGCCCAGTATATCTGTGTTGATGAAAACAATGCGAAAAAAATTCGGGTTGTTATTTGGTTGTTGTCACGTCTAATCTCTCTGTTTATGTTTGTAGTTTCCGTTTTAAATTATAAACAAATTGTAGATCGACTGATTTTATGACACCAAACATCAAAATCAAGGACTTCGAAAGACCTTTCAAACAAGGTTTTACTCTTTACCCCTTGTCATTTGAAATTTATACAGGAATGACCTTGGGGAGCCGAGGGTGAAAGGGAGTGAAGTAGTTTTTGGTTTAAAAGTTGTGCCCCTTGACAAATCCTTTGGCGTGTCTCGGTGGTTTTTGTTTTATTCAGTGGTTTTCGGTAAATCCGTGGTGGGAAGTTTTCAAATGATATATATATATATATATATATCACTTTATCCGAGGAGCGACGCTGCAAGCCAAAACGATGTCTAATGTTTATTTGGTGTATTTTTTATAAATATGTTTGGGGTGAAAATTTACATTTTTGGGACTTTAGATAGAAACAAATAACCGTGAAAGTTTGTTTTTATCTGTTGATGGTCCAAAAGAAATCATGGCGGATGGTTTGTGGTGGAATTGAAGCGTTTGGTAGGACTAAGCACTTTCTGTTTGCGCGTCAGACTCTACTAAGCCATGTATTGATGACTTTTATTTGCTCCAAGTTGAAATGAAAGAATACAGGTACCAGAAACAATATCTGCGGTTCCTGAAATGTTGCATGGCCTTTGTGTATTGTCTTCTGTTCTTTGTCTGCGATACAAATGTAAATAAACATATAAAAAAAGTTACAAGCAGGTAGTGGTTCGCGGGCACAGAATACAAAGAGCTGCAAAGAGGAATGCAGATGTTTCAATGCACTGCTAGATGATATTAGACGAGATACATAGACGGGTCTACTGATGAGAATAACACTTTGCGAGCTTCGTTTTACGAAGTTTGTTACTTAACCTGAAGTAACAATACAAAGCGTCAAACAATTCACATAATGATGTTTTATTCTCATCTACTGAGTGATCTACACAAGTTGGTTGGATTGGAGTTGCATTTGTCGTTATAATTTGTCAAGGTATCTCGATGTCTAATAATAGACAGTAATCCTTGTATGAATTCATTCTAACGACTTAAAGCTTTAGAAGAGACTATGTCATCCCATCCCACTATTAACCACCAAAGCTATGGTATCATTAACTTGTCGGTTATAGTTACCGAATTGAGTGCCCCTAACGGATCAAATATCGTTGAAATGGCAGCTCAAATGCCTCGCTTTCTGATGCGCTTTAATTCAAAACTGCTCTATTTCGACTATGTATTCCAGTACAACAGATTGAGCTACGCAAAATACACCTAACGTTTTACGCGCTTTATATTTATTGAGCTGATACATGTTACATTCATTGGCTACTGGTTGCTTTACTATTTCTGGGCGATTCGATAATAATTTAACAGAAAACCGTACGAGTCGAGTATTCAAGCTAATTTGGTTCTTAATTGCTTTGCCTCATCTACTGAATCTGATCCACGGACTAGCTCTTCTACGTAAAAATCGTTTTACTGGCATTTGTATACTTTTCGAGATTGTCGTGACCAAGTCGTAATTTCTTCACTCTCGTTTTCGCGCCATACAATTCGCTGCAAATCACGCTGACCTTCAACATTCACTTATTGATTTATTGGCAGTACCAGCAACTAACACCACGTGGTATTTACGAAGTCTAAGCAGAATATCAAACAAGTCTTGTTGTATTTTAAGCCCTATTTTTAATGTATCATTCAAGAACAAGACGCAATTTGATTTACTTGATCCATCGATTAAAACACGCAATTTTCTGGTGGTGCAATTATAGTCCACCAGTTCGCTATCGCCGATATGCTAGAAAACTGGTATTTTAAGCTTCTGAGAGTTGTTTTATGTTACTTATTAGCAAATAAGGCTTTTGAACAATTATTCTAGATCCCGAAGAGAAAAATCGCAGAACCCAAACATCTCCATAGGAGAACATCTTCACGGCATAGCTTTGTGACAAATCGCCCTGTATTCCCATGACTTTTTACAAAGCTATGCTGTAACGATGTACTGCTCTGCGATATCTACAACATATATGAGGTGGTTGGCGGCACCCTTATTCGTTTGGTTCTCCGTTTCTTTCTCTGTTTTGAGCAGTCAAGCCTCATGTGAACAGAATCACCCTGTAGTCCTCTGATTTTTTGTAAAGCTATGACTTAAAGGTGTACTTCTGTGAGGTCTCTACAACATATATGTGTTTGTTGGTGGCAAAGTTCTTTGTTTGGGTTCTGCGATTCTTTTGTTTTATATGCACCCATTCGTTTGTATCGTTTATTATCGAAATCACCTAATTTAGATTAACAGGTATGCGGTATTTACAGCAGAGTACAATTAGGCCTAGTAACAGCAGGAGCCTTATGTACGAAACTGTTTTTAGTATTTTGCGTATTAAAATAACACACTAGTGCCTGTTTTTGTTTCCCGTTAGCTCCACCACTGGTAATATCGAATTTCGGGATACTATCTGGAATAATTTGTTTAAGAGCTCTATTTGATAAACAACCTTAGAAGCTGAAAATACTAGTTTTTTAGCATATCGGCGATTTGACCTCACTACTGAACTGGTCGACTGTAATTTCATCATCTTCGAATCTGAATCTAAAGGTTCAGGGACGTTTGTATTAGCTCGGTTATATACTACGTGATGCGGTAAATAAAATATGTTACCTACGCTGGTTACGGCCTGTGTTTCAAATATTCGTGACATATGGTCCAGAACATTGTATTTTTTCATTAACGCTACATACTCACCGTGAAACTCTGGATTTTTGTAGAATTTTCGTTCCATTGCAATGTGGACGTGTTATCCCATTATGTAAATTGCAATCTAGCTTTATTGTGTTATCTCGTGTCGGTAAATTAACAACAAAATAGCCGCGTTCATCGTGTCGCGTTGTTTTTCTTGAATGAAGCTTCCCCCCCCTTTCCCATGTATCCCCCATAGCCCCACGGTACCCAATGGGTGCTTAGGCCTTAGGCCTTCGTGGTAGTTGGAGTATAAAAAAAAAAAAAAAAAAAAAAAAAAAACATTCAATGTGTTCGGGTTTTCCAGTAAATCAAATTACAACATATTTGGATTCGATATATGTTGTTGTATAGAGGATATCTGGGCGAGGTGTAGTTAACAGCAAAAATTTACAAAATAATTGAATTCTACTTCTTCTTGCCATTTCATGAGATATAGACTCTCCAAAAAGTACGAATTCAACAAGTTTTTTGATGAAGAAACCTTGACGTTGGCTGCGTTACTCGAGAACTATTATTCAAGTCGCAGCATTTTCAGAAAATGATATTATTTATCATTTGCGGTCTTTTAAGTGAGGATAGTAATAACATGGATCACCCTGTATAAACACAATTACGTCTGTGCCATTACATATCATTTTTGAAGCACCTATTCTATAAGTGTTAATTTACATGCGCCAAAGCACCACCCTGTATAAGCAATAAAGCACGCACATCGGCAGGGGTATTATGTAAAAAAACTTAAAAATGTCAAAGAACCGACGAAATGTCATCTTGCAGACTAGGTTTTTAATGTGCAAATAGTTCCACGCTATGATCGCTGTACGCTGACGTTTAAGCAACACGTACAGCTACAAACAAAATGTCACTTTTATACCCGTGTTGTATTGCGTAACTTGAAATTTGACATTATTTCGACGCTTAATGACACTTCGACTATTTTTCCAAAAAAAGCTCACCTTGGAACTAGCTGTCATTCACTTTATAATCATCTGAAGTAGCTATGCGAGATACCCAAATGTCATAACACCTTAGCTCCATGGCTTGGCCCTTATGTAATGTAACATCTGCTTCAGAGATGGCGCTGGCGGAGATCATTTATAGCTCCTATGGCCTAAGCTGTAAGTTTTATACTATTACTGGAAGGAAACACTACAGTGCACATAGATGCTTAGTATATTAGTAATATGTATTGGTGGTATCATGTTTCCTATGACCAGTTAGGATATTTAGCAAAATGATGTAAAATTCAATTAAATGCACCCGTAGGAAGACTTTGTCAAGCAACACTCTACTATTCACATTTGATTAAGGATTTACATTCCAAGCGGATGAGAATCTTATTTTTACGAGCCTTTTGTTCGCAAAACCTACATGATTATCCTTATTCGCCTGTCTTCCGGTGCTGTCAACTTACAACGCAGCTTTCGACTAACTAAAATCAATCAAATCCTTTCCAGCTAATAGTTGTGCTTCATGGGCAGAAGATTCAGCAATAATTTTCTCACATAGCACAGGTATCAATGATCAACCATCACTAATGCTATAGGCACGCAAACCTACACACAAGCATTCAGATGCGATCTTAATACTCGAACATATTTTCTTTGTCACATCTTGTTCACAAGAATACTCCGTTGACTATCTCGGCAGCTTGCAACCCTCAAAGCATGTTGGCAAAATGCGAGTTGCAGCATCTTAGGCAACATAGTCGTTGAGTCATTGCTCTATAGGTGGCGCGGTGCGTGGAATGGGCTAGAAGTTGAGATAACCGATTTTTAATGATATTATATTTTGACGTAATACCTGCTCTCTCTGCAAAGCAAAGCTTCTAAACAAGGAACCGATTTCCAAGATAACTTTATACATCCTTTAGAAGATCAAAGGGGTTTTTCTAGCGAATGCCCATTCTACTGGTTACTCAGTATTCTTTGGTCTGAGATATGTGCGTTACTAATAGAATGTTCAGTGTGATATGAAGTTTCTTGTATGAATGTGATTTGAAATATAAAAATTATGTGATGATTGACACGAATCTAACCTGTTGCAGTGGGCTCTCGTTCAGCTACTCCTGAACCCAATCAACAGCCACTACCGTCACCAGACCAACCTTCCGCCACCGAAACAAAAGAAGTAACAGAAAAGTCGGCGACTCCACAATCCGCAGGTGTCGAGGAGGAGAAACCCAAGGAGGAACTGAAGACACAGTCATCCGAGATCGATTCGAAACCTCCAGACAATGGCAGCGATTCCGAGAAAAAAACATCGCCTCCTGTAATGACCGTAACACAAACAAATGAAGACGAAAACAAGGGGGGATCGGGGGGTGGTTCGGGGGATGGGAAGACCGATGACGGACGTAAGGGTGCGGATAATGATGAGAAAAATAAACTGACGCCGAAGCCAACAGAGACACCGTCGACGTCGCAACCGACACCATCGGCAGCTCCTAGACCGTCGCCCAGGCCTGCTAACAGATATAGGAAGAATTTGGATTGGCTGTAAATGACTACACAGTCCATCTAAATGAAAAAAAAAATGGTGCAGGAAAAGTTACAACAGATTTATATATTTTTCCATAGCAGCTGTAGTTTCCTTTATTTAATAGTTCAAAACGTGCAAATTATGCCATTTTCGACCCCGAAAAACAATATGAAAAAATGAAAATTTCAATGCTGGCAAAGCTCCCAAATATCCTGCTAATACCCATTAACAAAACCCTAAAGCATCTTGGGTAGTGCTATTATTGTAAATATTTGCTCACTAACTGTTTATAATAAATTGACTTTTCAATTATCTTCATTGAATGGTGAATGAGCTTACATATTAAAGTATAAGCATCCTACTTTAAGGTGTAAACTCATCCACCATTTAATGAACAGCATTGACGTAATAAGTCAATTAAGAGCAATTAAAAAACAGGTTTACCTTGGCAACATTGCAGTTTTCATTTCTCCATATGGTTTGACGGGGTCGTGGATGGCACACTTTGCACTTTCTCAAATATTAAGTCGCTTATACCTTGAAAACTAGAGCAGTTGCGAAAACAGAAAGGTAATTTTGAAATCAGCACATCAAAAATACTCCAGTTGAGTCCTTACTTCCTTCGTACATGCTGTAGGTTACGTATAATGTCATGCTATAAAGGATCAGTAGAAAATTATTATCCTGGGTCTGAGAGAGATACAAATACACTCTAACATACGCATCTTTCTATCTCTATCTCTCTCGTACACATCAAGTTCGAGACCTCAATGATTCTCTGCCGATCCTGTATGTGCCCTCTAATTATTACGCTTAACAAAAGTATAGATTGGCTATATCTTAGACATTTGATTAAATCAAAATTCTAGGCATACGAAAACTCAATATTTTAATGGCGACAAGTTTGATATGAGAACTCAAACTTCCTTCCTCCATAATCATTTTTGACTGCGACCTAATATGATCAGAAATTGCAAAATGAAGAAAAACGTTTTTTTCCCAATTTTGAAATTGGAGACGTCGTCGTTGCTCTTCGCTCCGGAAACACCACGCGGTCCTGAGAACGGGACAACCCACCCTCAACTGTTCTCGCAACTCACCACTTATCATTATGCAACCTTTGACTACTTATGCTGCATCTGCATTGTTTATTTACCGAAATGTGAGAGATAGTACTTTGACACCTTGCAGTTCGCTTTATAAGAACATATACGAGGGGGTACCCAAAAAATAACCGGAACTATTTTCTACAAGCTATTTATTTTGAACTTTTTCATAAAGTAGCCTTATCTCCTTCAAAATACTGTCCACTACAACTTATACGCTTGTCCCACCAGTGCTTCCACTGCTCGAAATATTGTTTGAAGTCTTCCTTAGAAATTTCTGACAGCTCCTCTCTCGTTTTTTTCTTGACCTCTTCAATGACGTCAAAGCGGCGTCTTTTCATGTCCCTTTTCATCCGTGGAAATAAGAAAAAGTCGCACGGAGCCAGGTCTAGCGAATAAGGCGCGTAAGGCAGCGGAACCATGCCATTTTTAGCCAGAAACTGTCGAACAGAGATGACTGTGTGCATTATCGTGGTGGAAGAACCAGTCTCCTGACCGCCACACATCAGGTCTTTTTCGCAATCGTCTTAAAACCTCCAAATAAAAGGTCTGATTGCCAGTGTGACCTGGGGGAACAAACTCGGAATGGACTATGCCTTCGACATCAAAAAAACAAATCAGCATTGTTTTGATGTTTGATTTGACTTGGCGACATTTTTTGGACGGGGTGACGATGGCGTCTTCCATTGACTTGACTGTTGCTTCGTTTCTGGGTCATAACCGTAGCACCACGTCTCATCACCAGTGATGATCTTTGACAGAAAATTTGGATCAGATTCAAGCTGTTGTTTCAAAGCACGACATGTTTCAACTCGGTGTTCTTTTTGATCGTCAGTCAGAGCCGGAGGAACAAACTTGGAAGCAACTCTTTTCATTCCCAAATCTTCTGTTAAAATTCGCTGAACCGAACTCTAGGACATACCCACTACTTACGGATAGTTGATCGATTATCAGTCGGCGGTCTACAAGCACCACCTTTCGAGTTTCTCCAACATTTTCGTCGATTCGGGCAGTTGATGGACGTCCAGATCGAGGTTTGTCATCAATCGACATGTCGCCATCTTTAAATCGATCAAACTACTCGTACACCTGAGTTTTTCCCATAGCATCATGTTTGTAAGCTATTGTCAATATTAAAACAGTTTCAGCAGCATTTTTACCAAATTTTCATATTTTCCAAAACCTTTATTAGTGGAAAGCGCTTGAAAAGGTTGAAGAAAAATTGTTACTAACTAGTGTTTAACTGTCAGCGTTCTTGACTCGGGGTCCAAAAGTTGGTGCCACTGTTTATGGAGTCTATGTTGAAAAATGAAATATTTTAGTTTGTGATACAATTTACGTTCATAAATAAAGTTTCTATGAGTACAATACAAAACGGCTTGTAATTAAATTTTAGCGTTTGTACTTATGTTGTCTCAGCCTTGGACACTGTATTTGTATACTGAAACAAAGCATAAAAGGACGCGTAACTATGTACCCTACAACCTTTACAAAGCTCATTATGAGCGAGGTATTTCTTGTACCTCACGGATAATACTGTGAACTTTCTTGTAACTTTTCCCTTGTTCTTCTGTCTTGTTTGTGTGCTGTGTATTACATGAAGTTAAATAAACGAGTTGGACTAGAAAGTCATGAAGTGCTTCAATCTGCACGCTCAAGCCCTTAACAAGCTTACCTGACAAGAGACCGTTCTTTGTGGCGATATTCAGCGCAAAGTAGTAAAACAGATCAACTTCTGTTGCAAACAAGATGGCATCTTCAGAATGGCAAACGGCTCTTGATCAAATTGACTGAAATTTCAGTATGTTCAGTATTTTGCATGGTTCGTCAGAGAGAACATGGTGGGTACTTAATATATTCGTTCTTATATCAATTGGAACAGCAAAAACATAGAAGTCGCCAAAAAAGGTGTGAAATGATATATAGAGAAGAAAGAGGTAACTGGCAAAAACATAGAAAATGAAATTTTCAATTTAAATAGTCGATTCAACTCTCTAAAAATTATTGATTAATTGAAAACATACTGTAACGCCCTCGTATAGCTGAGACCTTGAGTGGCGGTGGAGCGAACCCAGGGTGTCGAGGCTTAAGCAATCAGTTATACGACCGTACGTAAGCGGTTGCGGCGCTATCTAGAAGATTGGGTCAAAATTCAAGAATCAAGGAGACCCACGAGGGTCATCTATCAGCTTCGAGGAGGAATGGGGTCTTACTAGAAAATGCTGGAGTGCATCGGGAACGGTCGATTCACCATATAAATATCCGACAGAAGTAGGCAGTGACAGTTGACACAGATATAATACTGTTATGAATTAGTTGTGTTATAAGTTAGTGTTAAATCAATAAATTAGTCTTTGGATTGTAAAAACGGTGAAACAATTCTACGAGTAAAAACAACATAATCTCGCGTTAATTTCATGTCCAGAGTTTAATTTTTTATTGTTTATGAGAACAGAAGGTATACTAACGCCGTACTAAACAAAAAATAAAAAAGTTTCAACCTTTTCAAACATAAATATATATAGCACAAGCTACTCTAAGGGCTGGGGCGTCTTCCTACCTTTGCTATTTTAGTAACCTTGTTTTACGAAAACCTGAATCACATAACATCGGTGGTTTACAAATCCTCATCACCACTATCGACGTTTTGAATCTTCTATTCGTTCCTTTCCGATTTGCCTCGTAGTAAGTAAAGGCAAAAAGCTATAGGATAAATTATTATTTCTGATACTTTCTCTCGTGAGTTCCTGGATTCTTTTGGTTATTGTCGTATCGGAAGCGAAAACATTCTGCCTTTTGAATATCCACATGCAGTGCTTTTGAAAAAGCCCCCCTACGTATTTGTTGAATGGAATGATGAAATATGAATATTTCAAGGTAAAAGTAAAAAATAACACTTAAAAATTTCGAGATGGGGCGCCATCTTGTTTTTTTTAATTGAACGGGGAGTCATGTGGTACCCCATTTTTATGCTTCATGTTAGTACTTTATAACCGTAGAATACACATTTAAATGTTAATATTTTGAAATACCCTGTCGAAGGTTAAGCGATCTTGAACATTGAATCGCTACTAATCATGGAAATGCTAGAGAATCTCATCTCAATCTCTTCTTGACGAATGATATGGAACGCAATATTCCATATGTTATCGCATATTCAGATGGACCCTGTTTTAAGAAAATTATTGGTTAAGCATATATATATACTAAGTGACGTATAAATCCGAACACCCAGTTTAAATGGTTTTATTTTAATAAAAGTTGGTGAATGTATTTATCTTACTGTAAATAACAAGTGAAAAAATTTTCAGCCTTATCAGTTGGACATTCCGGTTTTTATACTGCTTTTTTTTTAATTCACTAACGCTCTAAAAATGAATATTTCAGCCGCAGTAAAGAATCAACGTTGGCGGATTTTGGTTCTTGACATCCTTTACGATCGGTTACGATACCTAGAGTACGGAGACATGTACGATTTCGTCAACTTAGTGAGTTTGATAGGAGCCGTATAGTGGGACTTCGGGAAGCTGGACTTTCTTTTCGGGCAATTGCAGTTAGAGTGCAAAGAAGTGTAGACACTGTGGTTAGGTGTTGTCAGGCATGGCTTCTAGAAGGCCGTACGCAAAGAGCAAGGGGCACTGGACGCCGCCGTAGAACAACAGACCATGAAGATCGCCGCCTAAGATTATTGGCTTTAAGGGACCGTTCCTCCACTACCAGGTCCATTGCAAATGAATGGTTTGCAGAACACGGAAGACCTATTGGCATGCGAAGTGTTTACCGACGAATGAGAAGTTTTGGCTTGTTTTCATACCGGCCACACTGGGTCCTCCCTTCAACTCGAGAACACCGACGTAATCGCCTTGAGTGGTGCAGACAACGGTCACTCTGGGATCAGGAATGGAACAGTATTGTCTTTAGTGAAGAGTCTCCATTTTGTTTCGGCATGCACGATGGTCGTGCCAGGGTTAGAAGGCGACGTGGTGAATGGAGGAATCCACAGTTTTTTGTTGAAACACATGTTCATCAAACTGTTGGAGTTATGGTTTGGGGTGCTATAGCTTATGGTTCCAGGTCACCTTTAATCTTCATCAGAGGTAACATAACATATCCACGAAGTTCTAGAACGCCATCTTTTACCCTATCTTGACACCCTGGCAGATCCAACTTTCCAACAAGATAATGCCCGACCACATGTTGCAAGAGTCACAATAGAGTTCTTTCAACATAATGATGTCACATTGTTACCATGGCCACCAAGATCTCCCGACTTATCCCCAATTGAGCACGTGTGGGATATGATGGGTAGGAGATTGCTCAATTTGCAACGTCCTCCTCAGACTCTAGAAGCACTTCGAGAGGAGTTGGTGGTTGCCTGGAATGAGATACCACAGGAGGACATTGACCACCTGATCAGAAGCATGCCTAGGCGCGTTGGAGAATGCGTAGCACATCAGGGTGCATCCACACATTATTAAAGGTCAAAGGGCTTTAAAGCAGTGCAATCATCTTGAAATTTTTATCATTTACTTATTATGCTTCATTAAGTACTTATACAAAATTTTATCAAAATAAAACCATTTAAACTGGGTGTTCGGATTTATATGTCACTTAGTATACTATAGCGTTTTGATGATTGATTTTTGACCATTTTGGAATTTTTATAGCCCACGTTCAGCTTAAATATAGCATTCATACAACAATCTGATCATCCTGAATTTCAGCTTGCGAACTTTATCCGTCCAAAAAATAAGTACGGGCGGGGATTTTTGAAAGGTCTTGTATATTCAAGATAACGTTGTCACCGAATATGTAGGTATTTCTTCGTCTATTCAGAAGGTAATTCCAGATCTCCTAAAACTCTGACACAATTGCTCTCCAACATGCAATTTTCCATGGACGGCTTTAAACAACTACCCTTATGACAAAATTCGCAATACTTACTCAACGCGACTAATTGGAGAGTTTGAGGGCAGAGGGCCATTGAAATACCCGTTACACTGTGACTATCGCAATAATATAAATAGCCACCTGTAGCATTTCTTATGTACGCTCATGACAAGAGATTCGGCAATTCTTATTGTCTGCTGTGCCACTCATTTATGTCGGATTTCAAACCTTTTTGCTGCTCCGGGTTTTTTGCTGTTTCAATTTAGTATTAGAGACACTATAGTGCCCTGATTAATGAGACAAACGATATGCCAGGAAACTATTTAGCTTCTGGCTATCGACGTAGGGGCCTGGTAGATCTTTTGGTCCCGAGCTGGCAGTGTAACCTCTTCACCAAAGCGGTATTGTTAGCTTTCAGTTGCGCGTAGGCCATTATCTACTGTACCGCCAGAATAGGAAGCATCAAGAGATCATAGTAAAAACCCAGCTGTCGACGCTCAGATACTCTCACAGTTCCAAAATACAACTTCTGTATTGGTAGACCTTATACATAGATGATAGTTTTTTGCTCACATTCATTGTCCTACTACAGTAGAGCCCTGGAGCGTGCTAATGATTGCCAATAAACAGCAGGTATAGTTAATTAACTAGTGTCCTGTTATACGGAATGTCGTACTAATAGGAGTGATTGTTACATGCTTTACGGTTGTTTTATGTGTCATACCTACAAAAATTTCCCATCAATATTGTGAGAAGTAAATCAACAGAAAATATGAGATATCAAAAGCATACAACACAAATAATATCTCCCTCGTGAACTGGCAGTGAATGATGTCTCTCTTATAGTCCATAATAGTGTTGTTGATATCGCTACTCACGATGTACGGCTTGTATGAAATAGACATTTCTCCGAACCATAAAAATAAAATATGACTCCGTATGCGAATAAATGTACCAGAGGGCTCACAGCGAGTTCAAATTGTACCATACATATTTCTAGTGAAATGCCAAGTCCTTTAATCTCCATAAAAGCCGAAATGACTGGAAAAAAGATAAATCTGCTGTCTGGGTTGTTCTAATTTAAAATATTTTTGGGCCAACGAGCCTAAGCATACGACGGGCTTTGCAGAGCCGGTACGATGTTTTTTAACTGGACGACCACGCGACACTAATATCTAAATAAGAAAGTATCTGCATTCCCGCGGCATCATTGTAAGGTACCTTACCTTTTGTCACAAGTAAAATTTTTTTCGTGCGAGAATATTATCGATGAGATTCGATAGGCTCGTATGATACTTTGCAATGCAGGTATTGAAATTGTGTAGAATCGCAACGATCTTTACTAAGACATAAGCGTAATTCCTTGAATATGGTATGCCACTAAAATCATAGTTAAACTGCATTTCTTTATAATTCTTCTAACGAATAGTTAATTTTTTTAAAAATATCAACAGAAAACATCGAATTTAAATCAGGTGATAGATGGCATCAAAACGTATCGAACGAACTAATATATTTGTCATCCCAAATTATATAGTTCATGAGATATACTAAGTGACATATAAATCCGAACACCCAGTTTAAATGGTTTTATTTTAATAAAATTGTGTATAAGTACTTAATGAAGCATAATAAGTAAATGATAAAAATTTCAAAATGATTGCACTGCTTTAAAGCCCTTTGATCTTTAATAATGTGTGGATGCACCCTGATGTGCTACGCATTCTCCAATGCGCCTAGGCATGCTTCTGATTAGGTGGTCAATGTCCTCCTGTGGTATCTCATTTCAGGCAACCACCAACTCCTCTCGAAGTGCTTCTAGAGTCTGAGAAGGACGTTGCAAATTGAGCAATCTCCTACCCATCATATCCCACACGTGCTCAATTGGGGATAAGTCGGGAGATCTTGGTGGCCATGGTGACAATGTGACATCATTATGTTGAAAGAAGTCTATTGTGACTCTTGCAACATGTGGTCGGGCATTATCTTGTTGGAAAGTTGGATCTGCCAGGTTGTCAAGATAGGGTAAAAGATGGGGTTCTAGAACTTCGTGGATATAACGCTGCGCGTTCATGTTACCTCTGATGAAGATTGAAGGTGACCTGGAACCATAAGCTATAGCACCCCAAACCATAACTCCAACAGTGTGATGAACATGTCTTTCAACAAAAAACAGTGGATTCCTCCTTTCACCACGTCGCCTTCTAACCCTGGCACGACCATCGTGCATGCCTAAACAAAATCGAGACTCGTCATTAAAGACAATACTGTTCCATTCCTGATCCCAGAGTGGCCGTTGTCTGCACCACTCAAGGCGATTACGTCGGTGTTCTCGAGTTAAAGGGAGGACCCAGTGTGGCCGGTATGAAAACAAGCCAAAACTTCTCATTCGTCGGTCAACACTTCGCATGCCAATAGGTCTTCTGTGTTCTGCAAACCATTCATTTGCAAGGGACCTGGTAGTGGAGAAACGGTCCTTAAGGCCAATAATCTTAGGCGGCGATATTCACGGTCTGTTGTTCTACGGCGGCGTCCAGTGCTCCTTGCTCTTTGCGTACGGCCTTCTCGAAGCCATGCCTGACAACACCTAACCACAGTGTCTACACTTCTTTGCACTCTAACTGCAATTGAACGAAAAGAAAGTCCAGCTTCCCGAAGTCCCACTATACGGCCCCTATCAAACTCACTAAGTTGACGAAATCGTACAGGTCTCCGTACTCTAGGCATCGTAACCGATCGTAAAGGATGTCAAGAATCAAAATCCGCCAACGCTGATTCTTTACTGCGGCTGAAATATTCATTTTTAGAGCGTTAGTGAATTAAAAAAAAGCAGTATTAAAACCGGAATGTCCAACTGATAAGGCTGAAAATTTTTTCACTTGTTATTTACAGTGAGATAAATACATTCACCAACTTTTATTAAAATAAAACCATTTAAACTGGGTGTTCGGATTTATATGTCACTTCGTATATTAGCAATTTTGTGAAATTGAGAAAAAAACGGGATAATGAACTTTCAATCGCAATTACAACTAAACCATCAGGTTTAGGGCTGTGATTTATTTTCTCAGATGAGCTTAACATCACTTTTTAACAGAGCTTATTAGAAATCAAAGCAAAGAATCTTAAATTCATTTTTTTGTGAAAAATCTCCTCCATCCCTCAACTTTGGAGGGCGGTTAAAAAATTGAGGTTATATTTCATTATTCATTTTATTTTAAAAACTATTTCAATCCATGTAGGAGAAATTTCAGTTTGCAACGATCACATTCGTTTTTGTGGTGCGATAAACGTAAGAAATGCAATAGAATCCTTACCATCCTTACAATAAAATTAATAATGAAATAGAACCTCAATTTTTTTACCACCCTCCAAAGTTGAGGGATGGAAAAGATTTTTCACAAAAAAAAATGAATTTAAGATTTTTTGCTTTGATTTCTAATAAGCTCTGTTAAAAAGTGTCGAACCATTTAGCTCATCTGAGAAAATAAATCACAGCCCTAAACCTAATGGTTTAGTTGTAATTGCGATTGAAAGTTCATTATCCCGTTTTTTTTTTCGAAATTTCACAAAATTGCAAATATCTCCTGAACTATAAAATTTCGGACGACACATAAAGGGGTTCATTCGATAGGTGTTGAGGCCCTCTATCACCCAACTTTCGTTGATTCACTACTAGCTTTACACCCTGTATATTCAAGTCACTCAAACAGTGAGAATCGTCAAAATGTCAGTTACAATATTATTAGATGCATGTTTCGATGTGTAGAGTATAAAATACAGTGAAATTCTGGAAAATGGTATAAAAGAGCTTAAGCAAACTAAAGGCTGGTACTTTGAGGTGATGTCTATAGTTTAAAAAGATGATTAGCTGTGCCTATTTTTGTACTTGTAGGTTAGGATATCTTGGAAGATAAAGCCAGTTGAGAGATTGTCAACAAATAGCCATGTCATAGTAAGCAAAAATCAGGTCGAGATTTACCTTGCGGCCAATCACCTGCTCGTACAATGAAATACGAAGAATTCAAATATAAAATATACCTGTATTAACATATATAATTTTACATTCATATAACGTCAATTTACACTTTTTTTACAAACAACATTTATCATAAGTAAAAGAAAATGTATACATCTTAAATAAATATCATTGCACTTTCTCTTGATAGTCAATTTTCCTGTCGCTGCTATTGTATTTTATCAGAACTAAAAATGTTTGATTTTCATGAATCCCGTAGAAATCACTTGGAACCATAAAAAGATACGACTTAATTAGGACGCACTTGCACGTTTAGGTAAACAAGGAAATGACACGAACTTTCGCTTTTCCGAGTATTTCCGAATGAAACCGAATTTTCACAAAATCTTGTATTATTTTTTCCTAACTTTATTTGAGACTTGAAATCAAATTAAAAGGTACATTAACCTTTAACATTATTTTTTCTGGTGAATGGTGAATAGTTTTTAATCCTGATTGTAAACATGGATAATGTGTCATACAATGACATTGTCAAACCTCACTTATTGAAGAAAAAAAAAGAATTTCCAATGTGGAATAGCCCCTATTTATGATTCTTATATTATATTGCACATATCACGACATTAGTTGATACCAAACCTCAAATTTCGGAAAATATATCCTTCCTGGATAAGGAAAAACGTAATATTGTTCATATTATTCAAGGGCAGTATTAAATATATTGGAGACATTATTTTGTTACTGATAGAAACATTCTGCAGTAACTAAGAGCCTCGACGATGACGCATCTCCCTTAGCACATTTTATATCCGCCATATCCAAACCGATGCTCGCGTCTTGCATTCAATTACTACTCACCTAAAGCTGAGGTGTCATATAAGGCGCCTCCATCGTGCTAAGTAACGCTTATTATGTCGACAAGTGGGCCAATAATTATCTTAATGTTCTTTAAACAACCTTCTCAAAAACGGAAGCGTATGATAAACTATCATTTTCAACACCAGCGACGAATATATAATCATAGGAAATAAAGTTGAATGTTGAGACAAGAGGCGAAACGTCATATTGGAAATCAAATTATACCACCTTATATAGGAGCAAAAATGACAAAGTTATTATACTTTTTATTTTGAAATCACATCTCGAATAAGGCCAAGGAAAAATGATTATGGGAAAAATTGGATTCTTACATCTGTCTCTGGAAACACTCTGATCGTGAAACTTCTAAAGTACCTATTCTTAATACCCTAAACGTGCAACTTTGCACCCATTTGATCGAAATCGTATCTCTTACCGTTTTTGAAATCAAAATGGTGAGGGTCGAATTTGAAGCACCTGATATATTGATTCTACATGTGTTTCCTTACCTATATCAAACCGTCAGAAGATATGGACAGCTGAAATATGGAATATCAAGAGCATAGCACACTTCATATGAATACACTTTTATTCCTTTGTGAATACTTCCTTGTTACCCGAAGATATGACGTGAGGTGAGGTGTAAGGTTCGATATTATTATGCTGGATGTTGAGCTGGAAAAGTATATGGCAGACAAATATACAGACATAATAGGTTGTGTTACAAAATATCATCGTATTTCATCATTTTAGTTATTGGTTTGTATATGTATAAATATTGTATAGTAGTATCAAGCAGTATAATATATAAAATTCTGTCTATTGGATTTCCAATACACAAGGACTCCTTTTCGTGGGTTATTTGAGTTTATTTACGTTAATGAACTTGAAATTTGACTTGCTTAAGATAGCACACAGAACAACATGGCAAACCCGATCACTTTATAATGACACATTGAAGAAAATTTTGTATTGCGATGCGCGATTATCTACTAAAACTTTCGATTTAGTTTTGGCTGACGCTTTTTGGTTGATTGAAATGTTTATAAGTAAAATTTAAATGAAAAAAATAAATACAATTAAAAAAGAAATAAACAAATAAATGTAATAATTAACTACCATGTTTTTTTTTTTCGGTTGTTGCCTTATTTTACTGGTGAACGAATCTGAAGAAATTAGTAACATATTCATCGTATCGTATCGTTGGTGCTCTCTTGATAACACTTATAAGAACATTCAAGTCATTTATTAATTTGGTTCCTGTGAGCTTACAAATATTTGCAGCTGGAAATGTGTTATAGTGATGCTATGGCATCGAAAACGGGGGGCGAGTGCGGGGAATACTAGATTACGTTCTTCCTCAAAAATCGCTCGACAATTCCATCTTTGTTTCAGAATTTCATAACTACAAACCAGAAATACTAATTTGAACTTTAGATATGCTATGTAACATGGCAGAGCAAGCCTTTTCACATCATACAAATGAAAGTCGAATACTACTTTTTAAATTAATTATTAATTAACGATTCTGAATTTAGTCGTATTCAATGGATAAGTTCTTATAAATTGGTTTCCGAAGCAATTCTTTTCTATCCGTAGGGATGGATCTTTAAGAATATTAGCGTTTACGCTTAAGTTTTATAGCAAAGGTATATTGAAAGTCTTTTTAAGTCATCATACATCTCAAAAACCTTTAATTGAATTTGAGTCAATTCCTCTCATTCCGTCTATGGAAATGTATTAGATAAAACCAAGAAAAGGCGGCTAAGCATTTTGAATTCTAAATACAGATTTTGTAAGGTAAGAAATAACCTCTTTTTTATAACAATCAAGAAATATTCTTATATACACCTTACACTCTCACCTCATCACCATTTCACGCCGTACACAGATCGGTACACTTCTGGGTTAGCAGCGTGCTGCACATAGTCTTTCAAAGGTCCCGAAATAAACCGATATATCGATTTTAAATACAAACACTTCACATGTATCCACTCATACATAAATGACGAAGGGTATCATTTCCAGTAGAAGCCTCCAAGCGCCCTTGTTGATGCGCTTCCACGCACTGCTCGTGCAAATCGTTCATCAGAGCTGGTGTTGCCTGGAAATATTGCATGTACAGGGTGTGGTCCAAGGTCATCCAGTACGCCTGTTTCACGTTAGATGTTACTTTTTAATATCAGTGATTTAAAACTGTGACGTGATCACGACGTAACGATGGAATCATAATACTATCTCCACAAGAAGACGCGCATGCGGTCTGTCTACTATCCCTTTCGCATGTGTGACGTCACTCCGTGACAAAATTACCCAGAGACGGGTGACAAATTTTCAGTCTTGTATAGCGCTTTATCACGTAATTTGTAGTGTTCATAAGCTTATTATCTGACGTGTGAAATATAATTAATAGTGAATTAGGCATTCAAGTATGGTGTGCTATGAGGTGGTGAATTGTTCGAGCAACAACAACAAAAAAAAGACAGAGACGTTTCGAACTGGCATTTTTTGGTCTCATAAAGGACAACAAGTTCTGAAATATCATCAGCAACATAAACAGCGACTACTGTTCAAAAGAAAACATGTTAGAATTACCTTAAAGTGGATGGAGGTTGAAAAGTAATGCATATTCGCTTCATTTGATGGATTTATCAAGGGCGCACACTGCTTACAGTATACGAATGAAAAAAGGCTAAATATTGTGAAAATTACAAAATATACTCAATTAGATGGTTCACCAATACAAACGTTTTTTGTTGATACCTACTCATTAAAAAGATTATGAGATAAATAATAAAGACATCATATATTGTGTATTGTTCTCTATTCTTTTTCTGTATAAGAAGTTGATAAAACGAATTTATATGTTACTGATGCACACAGGGATGACTAGAAATCAATTTGTTTCGATAAAAAGAAACAAGCCTCTTTATTTGGAACCTCAAGAAGATTTTAGTTTGATAAGCTACAGGCGCATTTTCATTTATTAAATCTTGTACAATTCAATAACTTAAAAATCGTCTATTGCTATTTTTCAAAAGTGACAACTTTATAAAGATGATTGATTCTATAATGATATACTGCATCAAATTTTATTGTCAGAAACATCAGAATATAAACAGAAACTTCTATATAATTCTAAAATTATTATGTATAATAGATCACAAAAGATGTTAAGCAAATATTCCAGATATTGTAAAAAAGCCCTCTAATAAACTGCATTTCCTACTGACAAGCCGAACAGTTGTCACCAAGTGACATCATGCGTATGAAATTTGATCACGAACTGAACTTTGTTTCTAAGTTACAGTCATGCGATGAGATTGATCCAGAAAACCTAAAACGCGAGGTACACATTATCTTGTATTTTTTTTTTCTCGCGGAAATGCGAACCATCTGAACAGCTTGTAAAATGCGACAAGAATACTGCACTGTTGAATATACAGGGTGAGGTTGCAGTATGTTGTTGGTGAATAGCTTCGTTATTAGGGAAGATATCTAAAATAGTTTTGTTTGTATAAAAATTGGAAACGTCGCTAATACCAAAATAAAGGTTATGAAAATAAAAGCCAAAACTGAAAATAATTTTTTTTCAAAAAAACGTACGTTAGACGATTCTAAACAGCCTGTACAAATTATAGCCAAAATTGAAAAAAAACATATGACGAGGAATTAGATGACATTTTAAAATTCTTCATTCTATCTGCATAACTATCTGACCAATACGGTGTCAGAATTGTACCCAATAACTACAGAAATAGAGATCCACGCCATGTGGTATGCTATATCAAACTTTTTTGAAAACGCGGAAGCCGTTATTTTTTCTTTTTTATTATAATTAATAATACATTTCGAATCGTCCGCCTCTAAAGCCGCACATACTTGAGCCCCTTGATGCGTTTTCTATCACGTTTTGGTTGGTTCCGGAATGAATACTTTGAATACTTTTCTGAGTATTGCTCATTATAGCTATTCCACAAAGCTTGGTTTGTTGGCATAAACGTTATTTTTTTGTGAATCCTTACAAAAAAGTAGACTTAAATCTGGTGATCTTGGTGACTAGATGGCAGAGCGTAATGGGGAGATTAAACGACCCTAAAGAACATTCACATCTTGTTCAGCTGTGTGACAATTCTTATAGACTTCAGTATTCACGGTTCAAAAACTATTTTTTGAGGCCATTTCTAAAGAATAAGGATTATTCCAACAAACAAACATTGTAGATCAGCTGAAGAGCAATGCTCAGGAAGCTGTCCAGAACATCCTTTCTGAAGCTTTTCAAAAGCTGATGGAAGATGTCGTCAAGAAGGCTATGGCTTGGGCTGTTTCCAGAACTGGGCATTTATACAATAATCATTTTGACACATATAGCTCGTGACTTTCAATGAAATATTAAAATGAAAATAAGTCTGTTTTATTTCATAAATAAAAAAATCAGTATGTCACCATGTATATTTACTATTGAGTCGGTGAGTAGTAAAACTGCGTAGCAGATAGAGATTCAGACGCTATAAGCATAGTATGATCAAAGCCTGGATTGCCACCTAATAAATAAGTTCTAATACGTAGTTGCTCGGTAACATAGGCACATCTAATCAGCGTTAATCCAGTATCAACACCAACTCTATGCAACTCGCGCGAATTCCAAATCCTTTGAGTACCCGAACTGACCTTTAAAGTTGACGACTAGTTGCAGCAGACCAAACACGTACTATTTGGAAGTTTGTTCGAAGTTCCACTAACTTCTATAGGTGTGAAATATAACGCGGAATATGATCAGTTTACAAAAGGACAATATTCAACTTTGAGAAACCGTCGCTTCTAACTGGAAGTGATACCAAGTACAGTGAGACTTTATACAGGTTGATATATTATACAAAATGACACTAAATGCTAACAACATGTACAAAATATATTTGGCGTTAACGGTGGAACGAATATATGGAGCTTTGAAGGAACTTGAGTCAAGATGCAGAGGATTTTCAAGATGGAAGACTACTTGCTCAGCCTTGGTGTGGCTCACAATAAAAATATTTTATTCAGGTAAGGAATTCACTTTTAGAATTCAGGAAGAGAGTAGGAGATTAGTAGTCTGACATCGAAATGGCCATTCTTTAACAAATGCAAATTCTGTAGTTATACTACCTTGGGTATTCGAACTATGTCTAGGTGTAGATCCAAAGTTCTTTAACTGTAATGCATTGTTACTAAGCACGACGTTAGAATTCGGTTGAAATGCCTAGATTTGTAAAAAAAAAACGATTGCTAAAGTCCACCATTACAGATTTTTCGCATCCAATCGTTGACTTCTATGGTATGTTTTTGAGTGCAATTAATGTTTGCTACAGTTTTTAGTGGCCTCCATGTTCTAGTCTGGACAATCTTGCACCAATATTCAGACGCGCTTATCACCTGTTTTGAAGCCCTATGCTGTATAGCCTTAACAAATGATTGATATTTCGTGGTATTTTGGATACGGAACATTGAAAAGCTAAAATATACTTTGTTGATTTAGGTACATTTGAATTCAAGTTCTCCCAATCTCCAATGATAAAGTACATTGTGCGTAAATTCAATATCTTGTTACATCAACAATATGCATAATGCTACTATAACGTCAATGTTTCAGAATTTTCTAAATTCCTCAAAGAATTTTAGTGAGAAAATTCCGAGGTTTATGGACAAAAATGCATGTTCAATTGAACGTACATATTTTGAATACCATTTACGATATTTACAACCAATACATTTTCGAACAATTCACGGTATATCTTTTATAAGTATAGATATAAAAAATTAAAAGTAGTTTTAAGTACAGTTTCATTACAGAAAATATTGCGAACAGTATCGAATTTAGGGACACACAGCTAAAGTGAAAAACAAATTTTTTCGTATTTCAATGAACTTTTGGGTACATCTATTGGATTGGCAACTACGTGATTGATGGAATTCAGATAATGAAGAAAAATAAAATTTTGTGTTTGAAAACATAACTAGGTACTGTCCGTATTTGTCCTTTTGCTATCATTCAGGTAGTTACATGATTCCCCGTTCACTAAATGTCTGACCTTTGCTATCAAAGAACTGATATATGTGTGCTTTGACATCATTTCATTAGCGTCATTGAAATAATTACAATCTAAGGAGTTCTGTACGGAACGAAATAAATGGTTATGATATATGGATGGCGCAAGGTCGACGATAAAGATGTATGGGGTTTTGCATTATCATGGTCGAAAACAACACCATTGCAAATTCCGAATTCTGGATGCTTTGATTGAATTGTTGCAGTCAGTATGGCAAGTTCTTGAACGTAAATTGGTTGTTTGGTAAAAGTTTAATGTACAGAGTTCCTTTATAATCCCATCAGGCTGAAAACATAAAATCTTTTTTGGTGAATCTCTGTTGTCGTCTGGGCGTCTTGACACATCCAAACTTTTTTATTTTTTTCAATGCATGTATGCGATACGTTAAGCTCTGCATTATTACATGTTGTGTTATAACAATCTAAATCGATAACTTTGATATGGGTCTCATTGACTGATCAACTGGACGGCCAGATCGTTGAGCATTTTTGGCACTGCTTTTCTTTCAAGGTCCCATTCCTATATGCGGCAACTTGTTATGGTCTCGTTCTTCTATTTTTAAATTATCATAGAAACAAAACTAAAGAACTAATCGATATAGTTACTTTACTTAATAGAGGAATATAATCCTAACAGGTAGTTTGGATACGGAACAAATGAAAATGTAAATTTCAACTGTCTACAAAGTCCACAATAACTTAGTTGCCAACACAATATTTTCACAGTCTCACTTTGATCCGTGTAGGGATGTGTCATATAGTTGATACCGACATAAGTATATGGGAATGAGCTATATACTTATAGTACGTTTTTAAGACTAGAAATACACACTCTTTGGATGTTAGTCTTTGAAAAATATACATTGAAGGATTTTGTGTTATAGAAGTTCATTCTGGTGATGCATAAGCCATGATAGAAATGGAATGGAGATAAAATCGTCGAAACATTTCATAAATACTCTGCTATCAGATATACTTTTTTGGAATTCGGAAACGTCAGTGCTTTAGGGAAAAGACACATTATTGATAGATAACAGCGGGATTCGGATCAAAACCGTGTACAGGTTTTCCCAAAGTATATGGAAAGTAGTGTATATCTCTAAATTACTTGGAAATACACAAGATGTTGCACAAATCCGTGGCACGACAAATATATGTTTTCTTGATGGAAGGCTGCGTTTTTTAGATATTCGGAAACACCTTTCCAGAACAAGAAGATTCATATAATACACTAGATAGTAAAAACCTTATATCAAAAGAAAGCCGATGAAAAGCCGACTATGATGGTGTAAAAATATGTATACGGTGTTCCAGTTAGATACCATATTATCACTTTTCGCAGTTGATCTCAAAATTTGCGTACTTTTTTATTCTCTCTCCAAAGTTCACCGAAAAATTATGCAAAGTGGCGGATGACAAAGCCTTTCAATATAGGCATTTTTTAAACAAACGGCCTTCAGAGCACTACAGTATATTATAAAAATACTCTTGCCTTGGAAAAGCATTTCCAAATACATAATAGAATATAGGATGATCCAATTAAGAAAGCATATGCTTGCTGTACCACAGATTTGAGCAACACCCTGTATATATGCAAATATACAATTTAGAGATATCAATCTTCCCGCGAAAACCGTTTTCGAATATCTTATACAGTTTCTCTGAAAAACGACTTTCCATATTCGTTGGGAGTCCCTGTACATAATATTCATCTTTGAAAACGAGAATTTGGAGTTAAGTACAACATTTCTTTGAGAGAAATTGTTCGCAAGGCTATTCACATGTGAATGCCGTAGGAAGTTAACTAAGCACAATTTATAAATAAAAATTTACCTCTGGCTCAGTTTACGTGTCTATGGTTAGTATATATTCCAGAAGATACCATATAATAATTTAATTGACAAATAAGCATCTGTCATCACAGTCAACCAATTGATTATGTTATCTTCATTTACCGCTCATGATACTAGATTTTGTAATTTTGCAAAGAGAGCTTCCAAATATTTCTTAGGCAGATTTTCAGCAGATCGTGGTCCAAAAGGACAAATGTTTGCTGACTTGAGCAAATTTCGGTCTACCTGTAGAAAATCTATCGTGTATCAGAACTAAATCTGGTTTATCTCGACAGGTTATATTTCACTATATGAAATTTAAACAGAAGCACCTAGATAACACTGTACGATGAGCAAGTCAATTCAGAGGTTGTTGTTGTTGCATAACTGATCCAAATATCAAATCATCTATAATACTATTATATTCTATGTAAATCCATGAATTCTGGGAGACCTTGTATAGCAAATGACATTTTCAGAACATTTTTCAATATATATATAGAAAAAATGAGCAAAATATGCCACTTGTATATTACCTACTACATGTTAGCTCAATAATCGGCTTTTTGCATCAAAAACTCAAAAAGATCACTGATCAGTTGCACCTACAATGTAAATGTTACCTAGGTATTCCATCTAAACAAAGCGGCATCTTCTTTAGTGTATATAGAACGTTATACAACAAAATAAGAAACGGCAACATTGCTTTCTTCTGATGCTTGCTGGGTCGGGGAACCCGCCGTCCAACCAGCGATCGGCAGTTGCGTAGTTGCCATTTTAACCTTTTTTACTGCTTATACTTACACGAAGGGTATATCATTTCCCTATATTAACAGAGCGCATATAAAATGTCCATATATACGAAATTTCCACACTAACAGTACCTTTATACGAGGAGCGTACCAATAATCATCGTTCACAAAAGCACAAAGGTTTCACGTAGGCGTTGTTGTGTTCGCATTATCAAATCCGTTCACCAAAGTTTCTATGATAAACTTTATGGTTATTTTGTATATGTTCTGCACGTTTTCTGTGTAGCGATCTCCAAGCGTGGTCTCGACTGCTTCCAGGAAGGGTTGCTCGATTTTCTGTAACAAAAGTGAGATTTCAGTACCAAAATATCAAACATTATACTAGTATGTGTAATGCCGCTGTAGACGAGCGGAGATTGGTTATTCCTCGGTTGCCGTTAAGCATCAAAATATGTGAGATTTGACTAGTTTTCAATATATCATATCAGTACACAATGCAACCAAAACCTTACGGTTCGCTCTTGGACTATTTCTGGTTCTCAAAAAAACAAAAAAAAAACAAAGATATCAATGTGCGTAAAGTCCTTGGTTTGGTGATTTTCTCATAGATGTCTTGACATTACGCCAAGGATTGCCGCATTTCGCTCATAAGTGGCTCCGCGTTGTTGCCAAACTGACATAAAATGTTTAAAAATCACTACATTGATACTGAGCCGATTGGAGTTGAGTTTTTCCCTTGGTTTTTAGTGGTTACGTCACAAAGTCATCCGAAATATGTAAGCAAACATATCGTACAAGATCAGGCTGGCTAAATGACTGGTATACACCAACGATTTGTCAAATAAGCAATCTGATGTTAAAAAATAAATTTCAAGTTGACGTTACTAAACTAAATCGTGTAACATTCTGAGTAGGGCCGTAAAAGTCAAATAGTTATGTTATAACAGATGTTGAGAACAACTTCTGTTTACATGACTCGGAGAGCACTCGCTGAGGGTTGTGATTTATAACTTTATTGAATGATACGTATTTCGTAGGCTGCAAACGGATGTTAAATATCCACACCATGATGAAACGTCAGAAAAACATACAAACAATGAATCCACCCAAAAGAGATTACCTGTCTGCCAACACCGCATCTAACTCTGGCCAAATAAGATCAGCACGTATTTAGATGCCATCAACTGTTTTTGGGACGCGGCGTTTTAGGTTACGTCTCCTATTTCTCTGTAATGCATCCTTCTCGACTAACTTTTTATAACCGCCCTTTGTTTTGAACATCATACACACGCACCGACATACATATTGGTAAATTTTCAAACTGAATACCTCCATATGTGTTAGCGTCAAACTGATACTGGATTTGGCTAGGAGACAATGCTTCGTTGAGATCACGGATAAGGAGGCGTTGTCTAAAATTTCCTCATAAAAGATCTAGAAAAAATATAGGAATTTGTAGCACAAATTTTCCATTTCCACTTCCTCTTAGAATCGAATTAAACTTTGCAGACATAAACGATTTGGGGCGCTGAATAAGGATATGGCCGTCTAAAAATCCTGAAGTGCCATGAGGACGAGTTTCAGGCGCAAAAAGTTATTTGGAAACGCCCTTGAGTGAGCCAAACCGACATCGAATTCAAAATATATGTACCTGGACTTATAAGACAAAGTTTTTGTTTTCGATTCGTTACATTTTCTTATTGCTAGACCTTTACAAACTGCATTGTCCGAATACGACGCCACAAAGTGCCACCTGTTGGAACTGTGAAGGATCTAAGAGAACCGTGTCACCACTGTAACCGTTTGATGCCGTCGATTCTGGCGATATAGTAAATAAAGGTCTACTCGCCATTGTGAAACTAATAATACTGTTCTCGTCCATCCGATTAACAGAGGACCAGCCGCGTACAGCTGTTTCATGCTTATTGGTTATTATCAGCACAGTCTAAGCTTGGTCTCCGGGTAGGACAACGAACGAAAACAGACCAAAAAATCCTCGATCCAAACTATACGGTTTATCGGAATGCGACAGCACAAAAGTGCCAACTATTAAATGATCGGTCAGATGAAAGCAGTGTTATTAGTTTTTCATCGATTCAACCATCATCTACTATAACGCCATAATAGATGGCATCAAGCGGTCACAGTGGCGACTCAGATAGCGATGCCAACTGAGATCCTTTATAGTTCTAATCTATAACTGTTACTCACTCTCGCAGTGGCCGATTCTGGAAATATATATCACTTTGTGCTGATAGACTTTATACCTTAGCTAGGGTTTACCATACTTTGCTCTACTTTCGTTTGATGTCCTACCTGGAGACCAAGTTTAGACCGTGCAGATAATTGCCAATAAGCATGAAACAGATGTAGACGCTCTCTGTATTACTAAACTACACTATACTCTGATACTTTCTTTACACTAAAAAATCAATCTACGGGAAATTCAGTTCCCCGTGTTTCATACTAATGGACTTGTCAGCACCTTAAAAGCTTTTCCCCACATCAACGGATAATTAACTTTAAAAGGAAATGCGAGATGCTTAAGCAACCGTTATTCAGCTGAAAACAACACGTAACGTTTGATGCAAATAATATTATTTCAAAAGTGGTATTATTTGATTTCCAAGATAAGCTACATTAGACAACGGATTTTGCTTCCTTGAGCTTTATCAAAGGCTTCTACTTTTAATTTTAATATTGGTCTCTGTATATTGATAACTTTCCAGCAAGACCGTTGCTGCATTTATATGGTGCAGATATTGTGGTATAATGAGTTTAAAGGTTTTTTGTAGTTCTACCAATCTTCAGCAGCTCAAAAATTGGATCAACTTCTTTAACCTTTTAATACAAGTTGAAACCGCGGTGATATTAAGGTTTCTTCTTGAGCATAAAAAGGTTCTTTGACGGTGCAGCAGAAAATAAAATAGCAGTTGTTCAGGATTTTCCCCCTGGCTATTCAGTGATGAGCTTAATTTGACGTTTCCCATGACCTGCAAGTCAACTCAAGGTCAAGTCGATTGTTTTTATACGGAGTCCTTGTGCCTTTGACAAATCTTACATAGAGCGGGAAATTATACGTTGAGATATGACCTTGGGTAAAAATTATTTTGACTTTGAACGTAAAAAACTCTCATTTGGAAAGATTCGAGAGGTCTTTCCAAAGGTGAAACAATAAGAATTCCGAAGTCGGTAGAGGCTTCAACTCTTAACTGGTGACCTTGAAGCTGACCTTTTCCATGACCTTGTGAGGTCAAATCACGGTAAGAACTTGATCTGACTTTGGGTGATGGTCGTTGTAAGTTACAAAGTTACCAGATAAACATTCTAGATCCTACTGGATTTGCTTCTCATTTATGACTTATCTTCAGAAACACTCCTGGAATATTATAAAGTGATTTTTTTATAATGTCCTTGATCAGGATATTAAAGATCAAAATAATTCAGTCTGAACGTTGAGTTTTTCGCTTTATCCATCCGGGACCAGAAGTATAGAGTATACGGAAAACGCCTTGACATTGATTTGCCCTTAAGGTCAGTTTCAAGGTCATTAGTGAAAAGCCAGAGGACAGTCTAGGCTTCTGGTGCCTTTGCTTACTCATATTTGCTCTATCTTAAGAAATCTCTGGAACGATGGTTTCTCACGAAGACCTTGGACCAGGAAACTCATACATATTTTCTCTCAAGTCAAAAGTATAGGGTTTCATCTAAGAAAATCGTTTTGACATTGATTTAGCCTTCAAAGTCATGGTCAAGGTCAACTTCAGAGAATACTGAAAATTGAAAAGTACTAAACCGCTACTATTTTACTTTTACCACGCCTTAGAAAATTTGCAAAGATCTTGTTGTTCCGGGACTTTTGGGTCACCTTCTACGAAAACCAAACGTGCACTCTAGTTGAAATCCAGTCCTCATATACCCTAATCACTGTTTATCCACGTCATTTTCACGGAACCAATCGTTTTCCCCTCCACAACATTATTAACGTCGAACAAGTTAGGTGGAACTTTTGAAGTAAAAATCGTGTCAGCTGCTTCGAACACGACGTCGGCGTCGCTAAGAGCCCACGCTAAAGCTAACGCTATACTCCAATGTCAGACACTTTCCACCGCTCTGCTAAAACGAAAACGAATTTCTGGTGAACTTCGAGTACAAATTATCAACGTCAAGTCTGGGTAGGGAGCCAGGCCCGGAGCCTGATTAGTAATCGGTGTTTATATGGGTTTTATCTGGAGTCCGATCATAGTTTTGGCTGAAGGTTTTAAAATATCAGTACTCACGAGGACTTTTCGGAAATCCCGTGAACTAAAAGGATAGTTCAGGAACAGTTAAAGCACCTTTCAAAAGAAGTAAGACAGTATAGACCGCTATCTGTTACCAAAATCGACTACTGCGTTGCCAAAAAGCACAATGTAGCTGCCTATGGTTGATTGTCAGCAGTCGGATGGAGGAAAGTAGAATGATCAATGACATAGTCCAGTCAGCCCCTAACGGTCACAGTGCTGACTGGGCTATCAAAAGTGAACTGAGATCTGTAAGTGCCAACCGATAACTGGTATACACTCTCGGAGTTGTCGATTCTGGTAATAGATGGAGCTTTATGCTGTTATGATTTCGTTCGATGTACCACAAACCACGCTTAGACCACTAGCATGGTTGCCAAAAAGCACGAAACAGCTTTCCGTGGTTGTCTGTCTGTGGTCGGATGGACGGAAGCATCATGTCTATCTTTCCAAAGTTTTAATCGGCACTGAAGCAAATATGAGTAGTAGTTCTTAGTTCATATCTCTTTGAAGGCAACAATTACGTATCTAAAATTGACTGTTACTAGGGTGCATATTGTCAAATACTGAATGCTCTTGTGCAAACCTACCATGACAGGATTGTCAATATACTATGTGATCCTAATATGCTGCCACCTAAGTACGGTGATCGACACGTACATTTTCCGTCTAAAAAACCGAAAACTATAATCCTAAAGCTGCAAAATGTCATTTTTGAAGTCTAGGTGGGATCATTTTTCACGTTTGGATGGATGTTAAGTTGAAAATAATTGAAATATATGGCCTAGCTATCTATCATGTCCACTTGTATGAACAAAAGTGATATTTCAAAGCCAAAGTGCTGCCACGAGAAGACTTATAGAAGTAATGGGGGACAGCATGTCGTAGTAGTGAGGTAATCCTCTAGCTTAACTACACCAGCCGTTTTTGATGGAAAAATTATTTTAGACTCTGGTTTTTGGGTGTATATGAAAAAAATGGGCCTGGAAATGAGCGCAAACGTAAAAGTTCTGAACTATTTTACTATATAATAGGTTTTTATCGAATGTTAGT